CAGCCGACATATTAAACTATGAGTGCTTACTAAAGTAGACAAAACTTGCTGGATGAATAAGTGGCAAACACAACATCAAAAGATCCTATGCATCCAAACCCCTACATTTATTATGCATGCAGCAAGGTTATATTATTTAACACACATAACAAATGTTTGGGGTTGTATGGAAATCTTACCTAAGCATTGTGCTGCAGGATCTGTAAAGGTTAATTATTACAGGTGTATGAGGAAAATATGAGGCTTGGTAAAACCACATAAAGTAAATAAACTCCACATAAGATTATCATACTGTCGTATTTATTTCAACACCGTTTGCAACATGAAAAACACAAATAGCCTTACACAAATAAGGCTTTTACAAGCAAAAAATCGGTTTCAGGATACACACTCAGTGATCTTTGTAGTGTTTTAGCCTCGCGAGTAAATAATTCGTGAGCTCTTTACTTTAATGGTTTGCCAATACAAAATACACACTTAGTATTGACCAGAAAGTCCTAAAGAGAAAACAAATTCCCTCACTGAAGGGCTACCTAAATTCACAATAAATAAGAAATTAAAAAACTAAAAGAAAAAATCATAAATACCTAGACAAGTGACAATCATGTACAATATTAAACTAGAATATGATTAAACCAGTAAGAATCGCCAGAAATTTAAATTCGCTCGTTGTTTTGCCATTTTTTTAGAGTAAGAACCTTTCAGAATTCGACAAAATCCTGGGGTCCATTTTTTTGAAGGTATGAAAAGACTTCAAAGTTTCAAAAGAGCAGTTTCGGATTAACTTTCGCAGTATTTTTTGTTCGATGGAATGTTGACAATTACAGTTTAATCGAGCAGAAGAGGTGTGTAAACTAGCATTCTGGTCACGCTTCACTATGTTTACCGGACTTCGATGCTTTCGTTTTTAGGCTGCCTTCAGGAACCCGAGCCAATTCTCAGGTGTGCTATAGATGAATGTCTAAATGTGTGAATAAACGAAGACTGGGAAAATTTGGAGCTATACCACATGAAGAACAATGCCTTAGCTAACAATTACTAAATTTAAGTTTTTGTCACAGAAAAACCTGTTCTTCGTTTTTGAACTACGTCAGTTTAACGAGTCTTGATATTGCTTTGAAATTACCTTCTAGTGAAAGAAGAAAAATTGTTCTATTGATGGACAGTGTCCAAATTTCTCCATGCGGTTTTTTTTGCGAACACGAGGAGAGTTGATGTTAGCAAATTTCTGGTTGAAAATACGGCCGATTTTGACACTCCGGCCACGAAGACTGATATTGTTACTTTTCTCGAAAATCAAAGGCTCTTTGCGAGAACAACTTACATCAGATTACTTATCTACCTAAAAGCTATTTATGGACAAAAAATGAAGGAAATCGATTATTCAACTCTTGCCACTCAATGGTGGATATTTCCTGACCGTGGCTGTTAAAAATTTTGCATCGCCAAAAATGTCTTTTTCACTTTTTCTCTCTCTTTTTTTAAACCATCAAAAATGGTGAATTGGGGAACCGGTACAATCCAGATTAATGTGCAGTCCAGTTGTTTCAATAGTGAAAATTGGCAAGTAATCGCTCTTTGGGATCACACGTTTTGCTGTTCATAATTATAAGATTCCTTTGGTCATGTAAATGTAAAAAAGTTTCATTTCAACTGTAGAAAGTCTTAATTTAATATATTCTCTTTCGAAAAGGCGAAACAAATTATTTCACCACCAATTTGCCAATTTCCTTAATTTTAGATTAATATGGTCAAGTTACATGCCACTTGAGCATAATTTTAACGTTAATTAAGGCTTAAGACGACCTCAAGATTTTCCTTTATGGAAAATTTATATTGCTTCAGGTATCCTAGCAAGAGATATTGCCAATCAATCATATTCTCTGAACAGTCAACTTTGACCTTAGCCCTTAAAAGACTCCTTAAAGCACTTGAGTAAATGGCATTATGGTTCATGTGAAGCACGCTATCAACAAAACTAAATGGAACTGCAACATTGCCCCTCCCAACGTCAGTCGATCTGTTAACTAAATAATGAAGTTCCCTATTAAAATATTTTCCTTTTATGACGTTCGACTTTAGGAGAAAGCAACTCTTAATCTTGAACATTCCGTGCTTCTTTTGCATTCTGTGGTATTAAGGGGTGACATTAGACAAGTTCACCTTTTTCGATATTCTTCTTGTCTATTCGGTGGAAACTTGGATTACGTCATGACGGATCATGGTCACGTGCTAGGCAACGAAAAAAGGTTCACGTGCAGCAAGTTTATCTTTCTTTCAACAAATAACAGCTATGACACTTAAGATACTGCACGGTTTTTGTAATAAATGGATGATCGAACCGATTGGAAAAACAATTAAAAACAGGATTCTGGACTATTTTATTTGTTGACGTTTACAACTTACCCGGCTTTGTATAAACACTTTATTTAATGCAAGAATGGTGCAACTTGTTTTCCAATTCTGATGTTTGCGTGAGACACTTCGTATTTGGTTTTCAATATCTCTTGATATCGGAACACAGAACCCCTTTGCCCACGGAATACTTTTAGTATACGATCGTTTTAACTCTTGTTGCATCCTCGAATAAGGAGAGTTTGCTTTTGGAATCCGGAATTCTGGGTTTTGGAATCCGGATAATACAGCTCAATGATTCTGGAATCTCAATCACTAACGATTGGAATCCAGAATCCAAGCAGCGTGAAAAAAAAAAAAATCAGAATGGACCTTTATTTTCGTCTTAACAATACTCATTAAGTAGGTTGAGTTTGATCATCCGGGTGAACGTAGTCCTGAATAGGACTGTTGTTGTTGACAGTGACTGACGTTTCCACAACCTGTGCGGGAGTCATCTTCAGAGTCAAAGTGAGTTGTATCACGTCAGTTGATGGTATTATACTCTGGTTATTGGTCTGATTGGTCGATTACGTTGCGATGTTATTAGTCGTCTGTCAGTTAAGCCGTGATGTTATTGGCTATGAAGACTCGTAACCAGTAATTGGTGCGTTTCGATCCGTCTGTTGTCACAGTTAAACAGTCGTCTATTGTTAGTCAAATTGTCAGTTCTCCAGTTGTTCTCTCGTAGTTAGTTTTGCTTGATCTCGTCAATAAGTCGTTTGTACGGCGCTGGTAACTGTTGGCTACGATTCAGTGGCGTTAGTTCTAAGTTAGTAAACCAGCTTTCTAAAGTAAGACGTTGATAGTAGTCTGTAGAATACGTGATACATGTCGCAGAGTCCCAGTCAATTCCATGTTTCGTCTGTAAATGGTGCTCAGCAATGTGATTGTTGACGTCACCATTCCTCCCCGCTCGTTTGTGTTCGTTCAGTCGCTTGCTGCCGGTTTCACCAATGTAAGAAGCCTGGCGGTCGCAGCATACTCATTAAGCCATTTTGCATGAAAATGAATATTCAGTAGCACGTACATCAATTTTTAAGTTAAACAAGGTCACTAAAATTTTTAATAACGTAGTTTTAATATAACTTAAATTGTGGATCAAGACATAAAGGGTTAAGCAAATATCGACAACTGTAGTTGATGGGATGCCAGGGCATTGTCAATATATTTATTGGCCCTTGCACAACCCCAATGCTTACCGAGTGTGGACGAAATTGTGTGGAACTGGAAAGTAGGATCGTGTTCCTTAATAGAAAGCAAACACGAAAAAAGTAGACGGTCAAAGTACATGACAGCTTACTGATTTCTCTAGAGAGGGAAAGCTTGGACTGCTTGAAATTTGGACCAAACATTGAGCAGAAAACAGTTACGATATTGAACACTTCACTCTGATAGAACCAATCGTCAGATAGGAGAGACCTTTCACCCTTTTCCTCTGATCATAGTATTATCTTTTAGTTCATAATTATAAAGGATTTTTCATTTCACTCTACTTGTACCTTTGCACGTTCAGGTTTTTAATGCACTTGACCAAGGATAAGTGTGGTGTATGCAGTATCACACCAGAAAGTCGCAAAGATGTTAACAACAACCTTATCCCGTTCTATGTTTGTCGGGTCCTTTTCGCAGTTTTCCTGCTTGTCGCCAGCAGTCAGCGTACATAAAAACAAATTCTTCATATTTTTACTTGCAGGTTATAAGAAGATTTCGTCATAATGGTAATTTTGTGGCGTCCTAAGTAGCAAGGAGCAGAACAATTTCTAATGTGCAACTAGCTTACAAAGGAGAAATTAGCATGCGTCTCAAAGCTACAGTGGAGTCAATTCATCTATGTCTTAACGTGTGCTTTTAAAAGTGGTTTAAAAACTATGTTAATATCTTGGTTCAAGTCTATTTTGCAAATATTTTGATCTTCTCTATAGAGGCCAGCCTTTTAACAAAGCGCAGGTTGCAGTTTTTCCAGGGAGCGCTGTTTACTTCTCCTCAGTCCTCAAATAAGCTTCCTAACGTTTAAATTTATTTCATAACCTATACGTTTTAATAAATGATGAGGTGTACTTTTCATAACATTGAATCAAATGCGATTGTCTTTAGACAAATATACTATCAGGAAATACCAAGCTCGAGCGCACTTAAAAAACGACGATTTTAAAAGTAAAAAAAAAAAAACAGAAAACAAATGCAAATAATGATGTATTAGCCAACTGAGTAAGAGTTGAGACAAAATGCAATACAAAAAATTTGTTTAAGTTATAAAAGAAAGGGTAACGCACTTCACTCTAAACCACATTTTTAGATACACCACAGACGTTTCGCCCGTCCTTTCTATTTTCAATATTTTGTTTTTCGTCTTTTGCAAGTACAGGCTGTATTCAGGTATTTCTTACAATAATTTCTACTTAGTGTGTTTACTTAAAAGCATTTGAAAAATTCCTTATATTCTAGCCAATGCGTATGATGGCCTATATATCTATTAGGTTGAAAAATATAATCAATTTTAGTGCAGTTGCACGTTCAGGCACTTAACTTATCACCCTCCCATTTATCAAGAGCTTATATAATAACATCTGAGATCTAGAGAGGCTTCTTCATTAAAAGCAGCGATGCCGACCATTCACCGTGTCTCGTTCCGTCTGTGCTGCGCCTTTTTCCTTCTTTGGCTTGTTGTCCAAGTCAGTAAAGGTACATAAACATGAGTTAAAATTCTCATCAATTTTCTTATTCATTATAATTGCTGTTTCTTACTAAAGGTGATTTCTTAGCGTTGGACAATCACAAGAAAAGAGGCAGTTTTAGGGCGTGGCAACGTTCGCAAAGAAAAAATTAAATCGCGTCGAAAATCAGTTGTGTGTTTCAATTAAAAGGTTAACATTTAAATATAAATAACTAGGTACAAAAAAGTCGTATTTCTTATTGTTCTTCACATTGCAAGTATTTTAGTTTTTATTTCTTTTAAATAGCAAGCAGCTTTAAAGCTGGTAAAGCCAACGTGACTACAGTCTCTCCTGGGCTATTCGCTTGCCAGCAGGTCTCGTTTGCGGCACCTTTCCATGGTGGACACGAAGTTACCGTTCTTGCTTCACTGGGTCGTTCTATCAAAAGCCCTACTCGTGGTAACGGGGGCGCCATCTGGGTGGAGTCAGTAGATCAAAGTGGTTTCAAGGCTTGTATTCTAGAATACAGTGATGGGTCCAATAACACAGCACAGGTGAACTGGATAGCAACACAATCTACTCCATCTGGAGGCAAAAAAGGATCTATATCTTTAGGCGATTGGACAACAGGAACACAGTGCAAAAAAATTACTTTTCAGCAGGTAAGTGTTTTAATTTGTATTTTTTCTGATTAAAGACATATTAAGAGTGGTTTCTCTCTCTCTCTCTCTCTCTCTCTCTCTCTCTCTCTCCATTTATCTGCAAAAAAAATCCAGAAGGCAATATTTCCATTTTATAAGAGGTCATGACATCAATATATCAACGGTACAGATACCTTAAGACGGTTGTAAACATTTTATTGATTCATTTTGGTTCATTCATTATTTTTCTTTTTTTCTCTTTTTTATCATATGCGTTTCTGCTTTCATGACAAGCCTTATTTCCCTTGAGATAAAAGAAGAAGTACAAATCAACGATAACTTATCAGATATGTATACTAATTTAAACCTTAACTTATAGTTTTATGAAATGTCTCCTTTGGGTTGTTTTCAGCCTTTTCTGTCGCCCCCAGTCATACTAGTAACCCCTAGTCACAAGACTCCGGAGAGACCTCAAGATGCAATGGCCGTCTGGATGGAGGACTCGCGCGAGGACAGTTTTAAGATTTGTCTTAAGGAATCTAAGATCTTCGATGGAGTTCACAAAGATATTGAAGTTGTGAGTCTATTGCACGTTATTTTAAGTAGATCAAAAAAAGCATCCTTTTTGAAAATGATAATTACAATTTCTTCATTACTATATTCAACTCACCGCAGTTGAAATAAATGATTAACGGAAAAAACAAAACAAGAAAACAGAAAAAGCAAGGAATCAGTTAGCCACCTATACAAATTACAATCTGCTATTTTGATGAAAACTCATTTACAGTACTTTATAATAGCGGAGCTCCACGCGCGCGCGAGCAGAGCCCCATAGCTAAGTAAATCTACCCATCCCAAGAAATTTGGTAATCACATGACCGTACACCGCCCGCCCGCTGCCCGCCCGTCCGTCCGCACCACACTGAAACCAATGCTCAATCTCACATTTTCTAGCTAGTTTGGGAGCACAGGAAAACTGATATTGCACATATATTGCTCATCAATGTTGTGATCAATTGACAGCTGTCAGAACACGGTATCCACTGACCAGTATCACCTGACCGTATCGCGGGCTCAGGTGCCGACCCATCGAGGTTGAGTATTTTTTGAAGTTATCCGCTGACAAGTTACCAGCTTTCAAATGATCGCAGGCTCAAGTTTATTTTTTTAAATTCATGTGAAATATGTTGTGTTTATGAGCCACACAATTAAAATTTTGATTTTAAACGGACCTCGGACGCGAAAATTCAGCCAGCTATTACGGGCAGGGAAGACAGTTGCTTTTGACTTTCCTCACCATGGTCACGCTGTACGTCCAATTTTTGTGCTCTGATTGGTCAAAATTTCACAGGTGTCTTCATGCGGAAAATTTAGGCCGCATCTTGAAACTTGTTTACTTTGACAGCTGAAGCTGACATAGTCTGTATCAACTTGTGATGTTTTTAAATGGCCTTTTTTTGCTAGATGTACAAAATGAAATTCAGCTGCTATCAAGAGTCTTCTGTTATTCATGGCTAGTTTGTTTATTGGTTTTTTGGTTGAGAAATGCGTCGCTTGTCAAAGTCGGAAATCCGATTTCGGATGGCATGCTTTTCATTTTTCACCTTGCTTGATGCCTAAGAGGGCTGAAAAGTTTGAAGCGATTCTCAGCTTACTTGATAGCTCTCAGGAGCTGCATCTCGAATGGTAAGCCTGCGTAATTATTGTATTTGATGTTTGTTTTTTCTATCTAATTTAATGAAGGCGAGCGTAGTTTATGCGGCTATTTAGTTTATGCAGGTTTGCAAGATTTGAGAAAATGATCTTAAGCTTACCTAGTATCAGGTTTGATATAAACTTGCAGAACTTTAAAAAGCCTTTAGACATATTCTCACCTCAAATAGAAAGAAAACGTTCCAAAGAATATTTAGTTATAATTCTGCCTGTAAAAGGAAGCCTTGAGCGATTTTCTTGCCTCGAGTTCATCTTTGAAAAAAGCAAACACCAGGAAGCCGGCTTAAAACATAAACTTAGGCTTTAAGCTTGAAGACTCGGGATTTCTAGAGAAACTTTAATCCTTGTCTTCGGGAATGAAAATTGTTGTCTCTGTATAAGTTTCACTGAATTTTATTTCTTTTATTGATTGTTAGTAGCCTCTCTTGGAATTTTTATCGCTGTGCCGTGTGTTTTCAGTTGTTCGTGAACATCGCTTGCAGGAGTACTCAAAATGCCGCGCGTATCAAACGCTTTTGAAGATTACAGATCGTTTATAAAACCATTAAATAAAAAATTAAACTTAATACAATCTTTATTATGTCATTTGGCGGTTGTCAGAGCCCGCTGGCCGTATAGGTGATTTTTATTTTAACGATTTCGCTAAAAGCCCACGCGTGCTTCCATCGTCCTGAATATTTAATGAGTAAAATTTGTATTGCAAAGTTGTGAAATACTGCATTCTGTACTCTATGATAAAAACAGCGTCTCAAAGTACTGTTTCACCTCAGATGTGATGTATAAAAAGTATAAAAGGTTGGTTTACACGCCCCCAGATTTGTTGGCAAGTAAACTTGTCAAACGCAAAAAATTCGACCTGATTTGTTTTCCAAGAATTTGTTTTCTAGGCCTAATCTACCGTAACCAAGAGCCATTATGTCTCTTAAATGTGATCGAAGATGCTTGCTATTTTTGTGTGTGCATGAAGCTATCAACTCGATGTAAGATTTGGTTCACTCTTGGACTGTTTGCAATTTTTTTTTCTCTAAAGTCACTTAGCCTTTTCCTCAAAAGTCACATCAATGTGCTCTTTTAACGGTTAACTGACTTGTTGGAATACAAGTTTATTCTTTGATTTAAATTACAAATTTATTAATGGGAGCTTCGCTTTTAGCCCTGGCTATATCTATATATTAGTCGATTTGCCATCAGTTTATTTAAGAGAAGGTCAATTTAGCCAACTTAAAAGCCTCTTAAGCTTTATCCTTTTGTCATAACAGACCTTTCAAAATTAATGTTTTACTTCTCAGCAATATAACCTTTACATTTCCCAATTTTCTGGAGTGAGGTTGAGTAAAGTGTGACGTTGCAATCCACATTAGTATTTCCTAGGACCCCTGAAAGGTATGGAGTTCTATCCCCGCCAAAAATCAAAGTAGATCACAACATTCAACTCAAGAGTGTAACATTTGACTTGAAGAAGATCAAAATTAGATTTTGCAGTTCAATTTTGTAGTTCTTAACGCAAGCTTCAAAACTTTAGGCTTCAACTTCATTAGTGAGAGTTAAACATTATACACTTAATGTCAGATCCCAAGGGAAACAGTTAGTTTTGTTTTCCCGAGAGTCCTGATGTTTCCCGAGACGAAGTCGAAGGAAACATCAGGACTCGAGGGAAAACAAAACTTACTGGTTTCCCGAGGGATCTGGCATTAAGTGTTTTGTTATATTTCTAGACTTTCACTTCAACAGCAACAAAAGAATAACCGGAGCGAACGAAAACGAACCAAAACAGTCGACTCGGTACTTATGACAACACAAATTTAATTCTCAAAACCACTGAACGAATGATTTACAAACAAAAGTACTTTCCTTATATCATCTGCATCTTTTTCCTCCACTAGCTGCTGTTTTTCTTCTGGGAACTTCTGGGATAACTTTAAAAATCGTTGCTTTTTAGCTTGAGGCCTCGTGATTGTGTTGTTGTGTTCATTCACGAAAAAGAAAACTGGCAGAACCTGGCGGTGTTTTTCCCGCCTTCGGTCACGCCACTTTCCACCATGCTTTGATCACGTGCTGCAACGAGCGGGATACATTGTTTAATGTATCTCGATCGGGATACATTTGATTTTAGTCAAGGCCACGTGACCAAGAATCAACCAATGGCAGTCCCTGTTTAGTTGAGTGAAATTCTAGGAATATAACAATACACTTTGTCCATCAACATCCAAGCTTACTGATCAACATTGCTCTCGATATATGCGCTTTTCGCGAAAGATGAACTTTGACTCATCAAGTTGGTTGTTGAGTTACCAAAGGCGTATCAATACCGCCATAAATCGAAGTTGAGACTTAACATCGAATGTTACGTACCAACATGCAATTTCGGCAATCAAAATTGGTGTTGACCATAAAGACAATTAAATTGGTCGCTTTTTTTTAGCAAACCCGTTAACATTCTCGGTCAGCATAAACAATGTTGAGTTGCACTGCGTGCCATTTCGGATGGTGGACGGCGGACGGCGGATGACGGACGGCAGAAAAAAAAAATTATAAGATAGATACATAATTAACCCAGATTGATGAAAATTATAAGCAATTCAAATTTCAAAAAATGTAAATATTAGTTGTGACATCTTCTGATATAGACAGAGCATTCATGCAGCTATGTGGCTCCCTCGGGTGTGAGTTCCAACTCGTGGCCGATGCGAGGAGAAAAGATCTGCAGTTTCTGTTTGCGAAATTCTTTTGCTGTAAGACCCGTTTGCCCATGTCAAAGAAAAATCATGGACAAGAGAAGCTACGTTGATGCGAAACCATGAGAAAAACGAAGCGCCTGAGGAGGCGGCTGCTGATGTACTATTTGGTCGGTAGGTACCTCAGTATGTTAAGTTTTGCAGTTTCCATAATTTTTTTTTTTGTTTACCGCAGCTTATGTCCACTGCTTTTAATGGTTCTCTTCCTGGTCGACTGACTCCAATAAGAAAAACACAAACCAAACTTTAAAACTAGTTGGAAGAGCGGGCTAGGCTTCTCACCTAGATTCAGGCCTTTCGAAGAGGGGTGAGCGGGGAACGCTAAAAAGATATAATAGTTGGCCGAACTTTAAAAAATTTCTTAGGTCTCAGCGTTCAAAGTGTACGCATTTGTTTAGTTATTTGTTTATTGATTTATTTTTATTTAATTTTAAGGATCGAGCCACGATTCGAGAGAAAGAGTCCCCGGGGCCATTCGGGACACTCGTGGGCATCACACTTCGAGAACTTTAATTTCTTCAAACTAACTAGACAACCTGCACAACAGCTTTTGTTTTATACTTAATTAGAAAAATCACGTTTATCTTTAGGAAGAAATTCTGTCTCTCATGGCCAGTCTGCTAAACACCTTGTGCAAGCCTTGCTACTCATCTTTCTTTGAATGCTCTGTTATTTTCTTTGCTGAAAATTATCAGGAAAGAGTTTTTACTAACACCTTTTTCCGTACAAACAGTGACATATCGAAGCATTTTTTTTTTTTCAATATAAAACTTTAAGAAATATACATGTGCTTGACTTAATCACTTTTTTGCTGGTTATTTAATACAGGTAAAAGTAGCCCATAGTATAAGCAAACATTACATCTGCATCTAAAATTAAAGGGAAAGCAATAATAGCCTATCTTACAATTACATTTGAGGCTGGAGTTGGTCTTGTTTTGATACAAACCATCCCTCTTTACTATGTAGATCATGTTGCTCTTATGCAAATAGTTTTTTTTTCAACAAAATTTACATTTATAAGAAAAGGAAGGAGGTTTAATTGTATCAGCCTAAGCCTCACATTCACTCAAAGACTGGGGGCGCTTTCCAAAAGTGAGAACAGGCCGGCCGGACCATGGCTGCACCGGGCATTTTGGTAGTGAAATATGCCTTTTTCCAGGAGGTTTTGCTGAAAAACCATCTCCTTTGTGCGTAATATTTAGGATTTGACTGATCTGGGTGGTTAGTTTTGATTAAAAGTGAAATTCTCATTACGACGGGAGTAGGCTGGCCGGCCAGTTCTCACAAATGGAAAGCGCCCTAGGACTCCAAGCCAACAACTGTAAAATGGCCTATTGGTCTTGAATGTACATAGTGTAAGTCCGTCTGGATGTCATTCTTTCAGCAATATAATCATTGTGTTTTCTCTTCAGTGTTCTACCATCTATCTATTTTCATCAGTAATATTATTATTTCATTTTACCTTCCCTTTCAACAATAATATAATGTGCCCCAGTTATCATGATATACCTGTTTAATAACTTTTAGTACTTCATACAGGTTTAGTAACATGAAGGTCTAGATTGCTCAGGGTAATGGGTAGTGGGTGACTGGTAAATCAGATAATGATAGAGAAAAAAACTTATATTGGCTGAAGAAAGAGAGAGTTTCTGAATGAATTTTTTTATGAATGGTTATATTGTAGGTACAGGATTCTAATGAGATGCAACATTTCTATAAAAATTCTGTTCTTCCTATTTTTTATCAGATGTTTACCAGACCCAAAGTTTTAGTTGTGTAAAAAGACAATTTGTGAATTACAGTCTGTAAAATTTTTGCTTAGTACGAATTATTGTGCTTTTTCATATTATCTAAAAGGACATATGGCAAATAAGCAGCTTCATGCATTTTTGCTTAAAAGAAGCCTTGATGATAAGAGTCTCAGCTCTTTGTTATAGTCTTGTACAAAAAGCTGTATTTCCTATGCATGTCTCTACAAATTTGGCAAACACTATATGGCTTAACGTTTATGGTTATGATTATGGCATGATCTGTTTTGATACAAGATTCTGACATTTTATTCAAGATAAAAAAAATATATTTTTCGGCATTCAAATCATAAAGGGTAAATTATGTCCAGAAAGTTTTACTCTATACTGTATATTGAAGGCAAGAGTCTAAAATAATTCCACACAGAATAGCTCTCAAAGCTGTGCTTGCATTTATGCTTGCAGTTTTAGGACTTCATCTAAGTGGGAAATTTGGCAGCTGGCACCTCATCATGAATATAATGTGCTGTTTCTCATAGTCCTGGGAGCAGCTACTCAACATTTTACAAGGGGTGGTTTCGCCACAAGTTGGCTACATTTCTCTGCACCCTTTGAGGCTGTGCAAACACATAGACCAAACCCAAGGTCCAATGTCTTCTTCTTTATTGCTGACAGGAAAGGTGTCCCTTTTCTCTCTTCTCCCCCCCCCCTATATATTCAAACTATTTCTTAAAAAAATTCTAGCCACTTGATGGATAAAAGGATATACCCTTCCCAAACACCAAACCTGTAAGGACAGACCAGTCGTAGAAATCAGAGTGGGCAGTGATGTTGTATATCTAGCTTTAGCTATGATAGTATCTGTACAGCCCCCGAAACGATCCCGACCCCAAAATGATCCCCAACCCTGAAATGATCCCCAAATCGACTCCGCAATGATCCCCACTTAATTTTAGGAATGGAAGATATCCTAGAACTATGGATCGTGCATAATGCACAACATCATAACTTAGGTTTCACTTATAATCTTCACTTGCCCACATTCTTTAATGACATTAATTTGACATTACACTTTGAACTAGATTAAACAAAAATATTATTTAATACACAGAGTCTAGTACATTTTTAGTAACACCATGAACAGCAACTGATAACATCAAGAAACATAACATTTATTATTATTATTATAGAGAAAACTGCATAGATGTTAAATTCTAAAAATGATGTTAAAACTGCATGCCTTGAATATTGAATTTTAAAAATGGTGTTTTAACCCTTTTTAAAATTTTAAAATGATGTTGAAAATGCAAACGTATACCCCGTTCACACTAACGCTTAAACATGTTTAAATAATGTTTAGTTAAACTCAGTTTAAAATAAAAACAGTTCACATCGCACGCTGACGCAATCTAAACATGTTGAAAACATGTTTAACTAAACAACCTGTAGGAGGTAGTTTAACTTTCGCGTGAAACTAAACTGCTTCAAAATGGCGGCTCCAAAAAAAGTTCGCGGAAGAACGTGGGAGGGCCGGGAGACTAGAGTTTTGCTCGAAAAATGGGGAGACGAAAACGTCCAGCTAAGATTGACGTCTTGTACTGTAAAAAAGCCAATATGGCAAGAAATTGACTTTTTAATGGCCTGCGGACATGAAGACCGCGACAGGGAAGCCTGCAAAACCCGCCTCCACACTCTTGTAACGGCATACCTCCAATACAAAGACGAACTTAAGAAGACGGGAAACGCCACAACAAGCGAAAAACCACCATTCTTTGACGAGCTGGATAAAATACTATCCGATAAGCCGAGTACACAATCAAAAATTGTCATCAAATTCGACAACAATTGCTACGGCATCATCGTGGGAAGACAAAACTGAAAAGTGAAAATATTGAGATCATCCCGAAGGGCAGCAGTAGCAGCAGCAGAAGCGACATCAACAACAGTTCTTCTTAAATGCTACACGCCACGAAAATCTGAAAACAGGATATTCTATTGGGCAACGAAACAATAGTTGAATGATGAAACAATGAAAGGTTCGTTTTCGACGGCCAATGAAAATGGAGGTTTCCGAGAGCACCTTACTTGAAGCACACTGTATTTTCAGAAACAGTGAAGAAAACTGAGGAGAGGAAGAAACTTTTCCTCGGAAAGAAGAGGAGACTTTCAGCTGCCGATGGTTTCAACAAAATCGAAAAGGCTTCGGAAGCCTTCATGAATTACCAACAAGAAGCTGACAGGCGTTTTTGGGAGGAAGAAAGAGAAAGAAGAGAGGAAGAGAGAAACGACTAAAAGAAGATCAGGAGTTTTTCCTGAAACTGATGCAGGCACTCAACAAGTGAAATCGTTTACTTTCACACAGGTTTGCTCCGTCTATCGAAACTTCATGAAAGCTATTTTATAAAAGAACTTAGGAAGGAATCCACCAGTCTTCTTAATTTTCAGTGAACAAAAATCTTGTACCCGAATAATTTTAATTAAAGAACATTGCCTTCTTTTTTACATTTTTCAGGGGCTATAGATGTAATCAGTTTAAATGAATGTGAAATTTCACAAGAATGGTGAAAACATCGGTAAAAATTCTGAAAATTTCATGTGTAAGATGTAATTTTGTTAAATTTGACATTCATTTTCTCGGGCTCCCATAAGAAATATTCTTTTGTGTTATTACAGATGACTAATTACATCTTTAGTCCTAAAACAATGTGAAAAAGAATGCAGTATGCCTAAAATTGTTCTGGTAGAGGATTTTTGTCCACTTCAAATTAATATTATTCAATTCCCTGATGGATTCCGTCTTAAATCTTACTCAACTTTTATTTACTTTAAAAGGTGAATAAATTTCATCGACAGTCTTTTCTCCCCAGTTCAAGGGATTGCAAGCTTACATTAATTAAAGCACAAGGTTGAAATAGGGTTTTTGGAAAAGATTTTTGGAGAAAAGTGTAGTTTTAGATCTGGAGTGTGAGTTCCCTTTCCTTTGACTCATTGAAGCTGTCAGATCATTCAAATTTTTAACAGAGTATTGTATATTACAATTCAGGAAAAATGCAACTTGTTCAACTCTCTTGGACATCAAATGCATCAAACTCTGATGCAGTGAATTACTGTAGAATCTCTTTATAGATAGCTGTCAGTGGCAAAAGAACTCAAGCAGAAGACTTCTAGTAAAAAATTTTGTTTTATTAGAAATCAATCAGTTATGTTCCGTTGTAAAATTTATGAAAAGTCTGTTGCAAAAACAAGTCATATTTTAGTGACCATATTTAGCAGCATTTTGTGTCATTCAAGATGAAGATTTTAATAGTTTCGCCCATATTTTTCGTACGGGAAAGAGGGGAAAAAAGTTGTGAGTAAGCAACAAAAGAAACAGCTGTGAAACGACATATGCGTACATATTCCTGAAAGCTCCTTCTTGCATCCCTTTTCCGTTCACAAATAAGTTTTCGTTCTTGAGCTTTCTTTGTCTGGGCCAAAAAATAAAACCATAGCTGGACCGTTCATCTTCAAACTCAATTTTAACTCACTTTTTATTAGATTGCGTGATGTTTACATCATGAAAGTGAGGCTGCAAACATCAAGACGAGGCTGAAGGTAATCCCTACACACGTTTTCGATGTGAACGGCTTTTTAGCAAAACACATTTAGTTAAACCAGTGTTTATCTAAACTGTGTTTAGTTAAACATGTTTAGTTGGTGTGAATGGGGTAGTAGACATAGAGATCGACCAGAGGAAAAAAAGCGCAAAAAGAAAATCACATAAACTGTAGTGAAATGTTAAATGCGATTCAAAAACGTAAACGCTGCAACAGACTTCTAATAATTCCGTGACGGAATACCATTTCATTCCAAGAATTAATTGGGGATCATTTTGGGGTCGACGTGAAGAAAGATGGGGATCATTTCGGGGGCTGTACATATATCCACTTCATTGTACACACACTGAATATACTGCACCTACTACTAACTAGTGCTCCACTTTGTGCAAAGAAGCTGGTGCCGCATGCTTATAAGTGCCAGTGTTAGTTTGGTAATTATTTACATTTTTGCTGATTACTTTAGTCTCTTGCAGTAGACTAAGCTGAGAAAGGGATACTGTTATTTACTGTTGGGCGGTCGTAACATACAAGTGGCCCTATCACTAGAGGGCTTTATTAGTCAGGGCGCTTAAAACTGCAATACATTAATTCTTCTTATTTGCAAATGATGGAAGGAATATTAGGGGAGTGCGTAACCAGGATTTTAAAGTAATCCATTTTCATTTTTTTTTTCTTTGATCCATCTGAACAGTAGTTAAAAGAATGTGAATGGACTGGCCAGAATTACCTTAGGGAATAGACAAGTCTGAATGACACTAATTTGTAATAAAAATGACTCCACGATTGCTCGGCGAAGCATTGTTGTGGTGAGATCGCCATCTTTGTTGATGCTACGTGTCTATAAGTAGAGCTTTATCCACTGAAAAAATACCGTAAAAAAACTTGAAACATGCTTTTCTGTCTTCACGTTGAGTTTGTTTTTATGTTAATGTCCTTTACTTGGCTTACCGATGACCTGTTGAAGGGTAATCCTCCTTCGAAGTTCAGTTGATCAATTTCAGCCGTTCACATTTGTATGTTCCCAAGAAACCCAAGAAACCTGGAAAGTTCGAACACGCGCAGACAAAAGTCACCTTTGTTCCACTAGTAGCGAAAAGCGCCGGCTTTTTAGCGGCAAAAAAGGATTAAAGTCTAGCATTAACTAGCTAAAATTGTTTTGTCTCAATATTTTTTACCAACAAGTTGGATTTTACTGAAATAATTATTCCTCTCGCCCTCAATAGCCTATTCGGTAGGTTTTAAGTTTATGCTTAAAAAGTTTATGCTTAAAAAGACTGCATGCATGAGCGTATGTCGTCAGGTAGTTTGTTCCAAAGTTCGGAGGATGGGCGTGATGTGATCACACTTCCTAGAGGGTGTAATCAGTCTGTCAGCTGCATTCTGCACCGATTGAAGCTTTTTGATGACGTTTTTAGGGACATTATATAGAAGAGAATTGCTGTGATCGAGTTTGGAAGTTACGAAGGAATAAGAATCTCAGTAGCTTGCGTTGATAATTATTTCCTTATACACCGTATTCACAAATGGCGGACACGCGGGAAAAAACTGGAGCCTAGTCATGAAAGCGAGGCGTTGGAGGGTAAACAAAAATTGCAAATGAAGACTTTCAGTGAACTTGCAGAGTGTTTAGCACGGATTCCACGTAAAACAACTTTGTATGGACGTCTTTTTAAATGCAATGACGTAGGACGTCTTCTGCTGTTAATGTTTAGTACTGATTTGCCGTTTGCAATCAAAAGGGACGCGTATATCTTCAAGGAAACAGGATGATTTTGTAGGTTGCCGAAGCCTCAGAAGCTCGACAAGTGGGCGATGGCTGGAGAAAAGCGTCAAACTTGTTGGCCCAAACTTCACGCTGAAACCGAATACGAAAGCCAGCTCACTGCAATTCCGTAATACAGAATTAAAAACAGATATTGGTGGCAAGAAAAAAAGAAATAAGCGACGGATATATGGCCTACTTGTCAACGGAAGAGACCTCCGCCATTACACAAAACAGGTCAAGTAGAGAGCGGGTGAAGGATTCATTCACGAGACTCATTCATTCATGCCAGTGTCATTTTATACATATCTATGTATGTCTGTATTTACAACTTCCTTTGGATGATATTAATTCCGTCGCTTTGGAGTGAATTGTTAGAGGTAGTCGTTGGCAGAGCTTAGCAAAAATCTTTTGATTTCTTTGTCATTGCCAAATAACATAATTTTATAAAAACTAGAAGCTCTAGTGTGTGAATCTTATGGCTTGCTATTTGCCTGGTCTCCTTTAGGGCATTATCTCGGAGAGCTCACGGTAAAAAAGTGGTATAAAGCTCACATTTTACTAGGTAAACTTTTAAGGCAATGTTTGTGTCATGACTGAACACGGTAAGCTTCTGTTTCGAATCATTAAATTCGAGTCTGGATCCGTTGAAGAAGACCATCATTTTATTTATTTATGTATTCTTCACTTTTAAAATATTATGGAACATGAAGTTAAAACTCTTAACAGCAAAAGATAAGAAATAGGAAAATTACTCGCTGAAATGATATGTGGCCGGCTTACCGAGTCTGCCGAGTAAGAAGTTGAAATTTTGAGCGTACTCCACTCGATCGCTCCCGCATTTATGCTAAAAAAAAATAGTTCTAATTGATGTCCTTCATTGATAAAGACCAGAGAATAACGTCCTGGCAAACAAAAACCAAACATAATTTCATCGAAACCTCAGTCACCGCTTCTTTCCTGTCTTCCTTTTTTCCATCTCGACTTGAACTGTTTAGTTCAATGGCACACGTCTCTTGCGTTAACAAGTAGGCCATATATTTGTCGCTTTTTTCTCTTTTTCTTGCCACCAAGATTTGCATTGTTTATATTTCTGTTTTACCGAATTGCAGTGAGCTGGCTTTCGAACTCGGTTTCAGTGTGAAGTTTGGGCCAACATGTTTGCCGCTTTTCTCCAGCCATCGCCCACTTGTCGATCTTCGGAAACCTACAAAATCATCCTGTTTCCTTGAAGATCTACGCGTCCATTTTGATTGCAAACAGCAAATCAATACTAAAAATTAAAAGCAGAAGACAGCCCACGTAATTGTATATAAAAAGAAGTCCGTACAAAGTTATTTTAGGTGGAATCCGTGCTAAACACTCTGCAAGTTCACTGAAAGTCTTCATTTGCAATTTTTGTTTACCCTCCAACGCCTCGCTTTCATGACTAGGCACCAGTTTTTTCCCGCGTGTCCGCCATTTGTGAATACGGTGTATGCGCGAAATGGTGCGAAGATGATGAAACGCAGATTTACAAACATTGTTTACATGGGGAAGCATTGACATAGTGGTATCGAAGATAGCGACAATGTTTCTTGCATGTGGAGAGGGCTTGATTATGTCAGTTCCAAAGCGAAGAGGGGGTAGGGATTGTTGTGGATTATATTTTGAGAATACGTAGAGAAGCTCAGTCTTCTCTTTGTTTAGTTTTAGTCTATTGATGGACATCCACTTATCAATGTCGGACAGGCATTCCTCAATCTTAGTGATACTGTTGGTTAATTCCACGTCGTTGTTTGTAGAGATAGAAATATACAATTGAGTGTTATGGGCGTAAAAGTGAAATGGCATTTCTTGTAATCGTAGAATGTCGGCCATTGGTGTTGTGTAGAGTACATACAGAATCGGTCCAAGGACAGAACCTTGAGGTACACCGCACTTGAGCTCTCGAGACTGCGATCTACACCCTTCGATTAACGCAAATTGCGAGCGATTAGTAAGGTAGGAACGAAACCATTCAAGAGCTATGCCAGAGATAGAGTATTAGAGTGCAATCTTGTAAGGAGGAAATCGTGCTCCACAGTGTCGAGGGCAGCAGACAGGTCTAACAGTAGAAGCATAACACAGTGTCGTTTATCAATAGCAACCAAAATGTCATTATGAACGCGCAAAAGGGTGGTTTCTCAACTGTGGAAAGGTTTAAAGGCAGATTGTAGCCGCTCATTTAGCTGGTTAGCTTCTAAATATTTTTGAAGACGTACTGCGACGACCTTTTCAATAATTTTTAAGATCACCTTGAGGTTTGAAATCGGTCTGTAGTTTACAACAACTTCATGATCTAAGCTGGCTTTCTTAAGTAGTGGAGATAGAACAGCAGTTTTCAAAGAGGAAGGAAAACTGAGGGCTCAAAATAACGGCCGGTCAATGAACAATGTCCGGCCTGATCATGGACTTGACCGGTCAAACTCTTATCTTGTCGGTCATTTTGACCGGTCATTTTTGGATGCGAACCTTTTAAAATATTTTCCATATATAACACTGTAATCATTTCTTTTTTCTTTGCCTTTTTTTTTTCTCATGTTTTGCACTAAAACTTTTAAAGAAAACGAATACCGCATTCAATTTCATGTTGTCATGTAATGAAACGCGACAAAGCGAAACAACAACAAACTGAGTTGTGGAGTAACCCAACGATGTTGCAGTTCGTACTGTACTTTCTGCTTTGCTGTGATTAGCAATGTGACCTTCTTTGGGAAAACATACGCGTTATTTGTTGTAAGAGGGTTGTAAAAATCACCTTCGACGGAATTCGGGTTAATCGATCGCAATTCTGTACGTCCTGTACTGTTTCTCCGGGAATAAATTTTAGCGCATTGAGTAATTATATATAATTTCTTTATGTCGAACATGAATCTCGTTTGCGGAATCGATTGCAGAATTGCCTGATAAAAATTTAAGCTAATCGAATAGGAACGTCGCCTATCTTGGCGCTTAAAATCCTCCTTCTTATAAACAGCTTTACACAAATTTCTGTAAACGTTTATAATGAGCCCTTCACAATAAAGTGTTGCGCGATGTACGACCCAAACGAAAGCTCTGCTGTATATTTATTGACTTCTGATCCCAGCATGAAAATGAAGATTTACGCAAAATTAAAGTTTGCGTAAACCTGCGTAAAGTTGGTCATCCAACTTTACGCAAACTTTCCACGGCGCGTAAAGGTTAGTAAAGGTAAATTTACGCGCTCGGCTCTTAAAGGTTTCGTAAAGTTAGCATAAAGTTGTTGTAACAGCTTTACGCTCATTTACGCTACAAGTAAAGGTTTAGTAAGGTTGTTATATAATGCTAGCTTAATTCCTAACAGTAATTTATTCCCGGCACTGTTTTTAGTAAGTCGTTTGTGTCCTGATACTAGTTCGCATAGTTTTTTTGATCACTCATTTGGTGTTCGATGTTGGTGTGCGATGTAAACAAGCAAACCACGCAAATTTTTTTTGGTGGTGCGAACGACTTCGTACACGCTTAAAAATGACGCTGAAAAGAAAATTCTGCTGGCGGAGTTCATGCAAAGATATAGCTTGCGACTGTGCGGCAATTTTCGAAAAACGGCATATCTGTCGCGGCAAACACAATAGCCTTCAATACTCAGTAGTATTCCCTCATTGATTTCAGTCAGTATAAGGTGTTTCTTCCTTAACGGTCACCTCTCTACACGGGCCATTTTTGTTTTGTTTCTTTCAACCTCTCTACTATGGCCACTTTCTTCGATGTCCCTAAGGTGGCCGTTGTAGAGGGTTTCAACTGTAATTTGATCAAATTGAAATAATTGGAAAATAAAGAAAAAATATCGCCTCGCAAAAACGGCGAGTCTTACCAGGAGCCGCATTACTTAAAGAGAAAGAACGCATTCACAAATTACTGTGACCATTTTACATTCAACGGAGTACTGGCTTCATCGTTGAACCTCCTTTATCGCTTCCTTATTTTAAGTCCGCGGACTTCAGGTTTGGGAACGGACAATTTGTTAAAAGAAAGGGGCCTGGAAACAATAGAGTGAAGGGACACCTGGTCAGCGGGCTTGTTCCTTTGCACATGCTCAATCAGGTTCGTTGATTTGGCGTCCATTTTGAAAGTGTCCAACGGTTTCAAACTTGCTTCTTTGAAAGGTTGGAGATCGTTCGTATATTATGCTTCTTGATAGCATCACAGGACATCTTAAGGTTGTTACAATTTATAATGGCACTATCAGCCTTTAGTAATCGATCACTTCTCAAGTGTGCAGCAACCCTTTCGGGACGAGATACTCAGTCAGAAATGGAGACAGAAACATCGTGTGATCGAAGCACAAGCATTAACACTGGAATGTTCACAACACAGACCAAGACTGTATTACACGTATTACTAAGGCTCTTCGATACTCAAGATCTCGCTGAAAAGAGCAGATAGCAAGGCAAGGTAAGTTGTCCTGGCTCGCCTTTTCTCTAACTTTTTAAGCTTAATTCCAACTTGTTTATGACGAGTTCGAATGACTGTCTCAAGTACTCAGTAACTAACATTTCAGTGAGCAATGAAACCAGCATTAACCGTTTAAAGTAAATTATAACTAAACATGTGTATTTATTTGGCATAATCTTTCAATACTAAGCAAGCAACGAGACCATGACGTTGAAGATGATAATGTAAAATCATGTAAGGACTTTGGGGGTCTGAAGGAGTAGAATTTCCTTGTTTTGTACTGGAAAATAGGAGTTTGGTCACTGGTACTGGGAATTACTAAAAGAAAATAATGGAATTAAGAAAGGACATCTGTATAAAGTAAGCTTACATGTAATGTGATACAAACATTCTTATGAAAATTTTCACAGACTATAGAAGAACTAATAAACAGAATAGAAAAGTGTTAACAAGTGTTGAATTTGCAAGTAGACAAAGATAATCTACGTAGTCTGGTTCTATATTTTCATGCGTCAGTCAATAACAAACCCAAGCTTCCCAATTCCCCGGGCAGTCATAGTGTCATGAGTGGTGAATAATTTAACAGCATGCATGTATTTTTTGAAGCAGATACAAAAGTTTATTTTTGATTTTAAATTACGTGGGTTTTAACTTAAATGAACAGAGAATGAATAGACATTTTCATGAGTCTTTCAATGCATAGCTAATGCAGACCATGGTTGAATTAGAATGTATTTTCATGTAAGTGCCAACATAGTTGTTAACATCTTCACAGTTTCATACCTTCATCTGCAGTTCAAGGTATGATTCATTTCATATATTACCATTAATTTTAATCTTCATTGTGCACTGCTCCTATGAAATTTTATTGTGGTTCTTGAGAGGATATAGTGCAGCACATACTGTCAGGAAATTGAATGCCTTACTTTTTGGGAAGCAAAGCACACAGTCATGTTAGAAACCAGAAATTGTTCTATTTGCACCTTAGTTGTATCGTCAGTAAATCTAGGTTTAAAGGAAAATAAAATTTAAAGAAACAAGTTGTGAAAGATAAGACTGTTAAGAGAGTCATAGCAGTCATAGCTGTTTTGGATTCTCTTGTCTACATACACCATTATTAATCTGCAAATACAACTGTCTCTCTTGTGAAATGTCCCTGGTGGCAAGGAAAGAAAATAGGCTGCTTTATTTACAGGGTACACTGTACATTATTATTAGGAGGCATTGTTTTCAAGATTGAGGATAAGGGCTTTAAATAGCAAAGTGGCTTCACTCCTGTTACATTAACTAGGAACCTTGAACGTTTCGTATTAAAAAGGAAAAAATATGTTGGGTAAAGTTTCAGGAAAATTTGAAACTTTTGGGAATAAGGTGCTTTTATGTTTCTATATTTTCCCTGAAAGTCTTTGGTGGAGCTCATGAGAAGGCTAGGGATGTTTATTGATTTGGAACTTTAGTCCGGGACAGGTAGAAATTTAGTTCGAACATGTAAACCTTTGATATGACTTGTCCGTGGGACAAGCACATTTTTAATTAGAAAAATAAAGATAAGAAACAATATTCCATTTAACTTTGCTATTCCACTGCCAGTCGTTCATCCATTTGCTTTTTTACAAGCTCTGTTGTAGGTTTAATTCAAAAATAATATACAAGGGTAATAATGTGATTAAATAATGTGATTAAAAACATTAAATGCCCGTTCCAAGCTAAACTTTTTGGACAAGAACTCTAGGTTTCGGACAACCAAATTTAATGTATTGCTTGTGTGAAGGACAAGTGGATAGGAAAATTTCTCTCTTACCAGGGTGCAAAGAAGGTGATTTTTAAAGCTTGCCATTCGGGCAAGCTGAAGCTAGCATATACTAGCCCAAATGTCATTTCAACTAGCCCCCAAACAGTTTTGATGAGCAGAATCGATTTCACAGTTCTTCGTTAATTTGAATTCCTCAAAAAATTTCACTTGCCCATTGGGCAAGTTAAGTTCAAAATTCACTAGCTCGATAGCAAAATCCACTAGCCCCAGGCTATCGGACACTACTTTCTTTGCGCACTGCTTACTCTCTAATAATAATAATAATGTACATCCAGTGGTTTTTCATAGCACTTTACAACGATATTAATGGATGATACTTTTATAAAAATGCATACATTAAAATAAAAAAAGATATACATTGTAAAACATTGAACTCTAATAATATAATAAACCATTGTTAATAAATTTAACATATATATATGCTTCAGTCTCCCCAACTAGTAAGGCACTGTGCCTGTGTTATAAGACATGAGACTTTAATAAAGTTCATTACTATTATTATTATTATTATTATTGTTATTATAGGGTTTCCATGTAGCATTTTACCCTGATTTTCACTCAACTGCAAGTAGGGTTCTGAATGTAAATATTATTGCCTTTAAGGAAAGCCTTTAACTCATACTAGTCAAACATTTTGAATCTTTAACAGTCAGATGAATCTTATTCAGTTGTGTGAATTTGTGGACATTGAAATCATTTGCTACTCAGGTTTTGCACTGTTATTAGACCACTTGTGGAAAATGCCTTATCATTTTTTTCAAATTTTTAGTCTTGGTTTGTGAAAAGAGGCATGTGGGGAACCCTGTGTCAAGTAAAATTGTCCTGATTGTAGTAATTTGGCCATGAGTGTAGGAAAAAATATTATTAATTAGTAATAGCAGGCGGTGTCCTCTGGCAACTTAGGGAGTGTTTTACATGACACCAGGGCAACTTTTGCCCCGGAGCGAGTTCACTCCGGTTCCCTCTCATAGCTCTATATTTGTTTACATGATACCACCACAAAATGTCATGCAGGCGCGAGTCACCCCAGCGTGAGTTCACCCCGGTTCTTGTACCGGGGCAAGAATTTCACTCTGGTACAAAATCTCATGGCAGTATCATGTAAATGCGAAACGACCACCCGTTTCGGCATGAAATCGGTCTGCCGGTAGACTGGAATGGGTAGCGCACGCGTAATGTTTGCTATTTTGTATCACACTTGTATTTTATCAACATAAAGTGCACCTTCAAGTAACGAGATATGAAATGACTCAGTAAACCCGATACAAAATCAAAAAGTCATCCCAGTATGAGACTCGCGCCGGTGTGAGTTTTCTCATGTAAACACCCCCTTACTGTACATGTACTTGTGCCTTTATTGCACGATTAAGTGTATTATCACTAGCCTACAAATAATCTGTGTAGTTTACTCAAATAATACTTGCTTTCTATTTATTCAGCAGATCAGCCTGGTATGGGATGTTGGTGACAGAAAGTCCTCTCAAAGCAAACAGGATTAATAAATGTTAATTACAAGCCTTAGTCTTGTAAAGTGGTTCCAGGGCTGTCACTAAGGGCCATAAACCAGACTTTAAATCGGCTACTTTGAGCCCAATACTTGGCTGTTTTGAGAGGAAACGAAACTTTCCACATGTTCAATGTCCCGCTCACTAATTTCACTTAAACCCTGCAACTTGCAATCTTAGTGACAGCCTTGTGCATCTAACTTTTACATCATCAGTTTATGAAAATGATTTGTTATTTGGATTTTGTTGTTAAGTTTGACTGTAAACACTTCTGGGAGTGAAAGGGCTAAATCAAGAAACCATCAATGTTATACATGTATTAGGCTTTCAGTCTTTTTATTTCTTATCTAAAATTGTTTAAGCTTTTAATTTGAATTATGCTAAATATACTAAATATTTTCATTTTGGAAGAGACCATTTTGACCCAGCTTTACATTAATTTGCGTGTTAGAGTTGCTGTTTTTCATCAAAATTTAACTTCATCAGTTTTCTTGTACACCCTGTACCTTACATGTAAATGCTAATAATTATTTCAAACTATAAATCATCTTAATTTGGTATAATACTAAGTTAAGATGATTTTTTTTGGATATTTTGAGAAGACTGTTTTGACCCATTTGAAAAGTTTATGTACACTGTATCTTCTTATTTAAACCTTACGTGTTGGAAAAATTTTCGTTTTTTTTTTATTTTTAATGTAATGACAAAGATGCTAACACAGAAATAAATCATGTTATATTTAGAAAATTCAGTTTTAGAGAATCAGTGTGTTTTGTTTTTTAAAGGGAACCTCCACTCTTAGTACAGAATAAGTTTAAATCGAATAAATTATGTTGATAAACAAATTTGTTCGAAATTTGTCTTAAAAAAAGTGTTTATATCAGGAAAAGAGAATTTTAAAATCGCTTATTTTCACTTTCAAATTTCGCGGGCGCCGCCATCTTGAACAATTGTGACGTGTTACGGTTGCTCTATTGTTCTGACACAAAGAGTTTTTGTTTAATAACAATAGGGCAACCATTACACGTCACAATTATTCAAGATGGCGACGCCCGCAAAATTTGAAAACAAAAATAGGCGAATCTAAAAGTTATTTCTTTCGGATACAAACGCTTTCTTTAAAAATATTTTAGATTGACTTGACTGTAACAGTTATTTCCTGTGATTTAAAGTTATCTTTTTGTTGAAGTGGAGGTTCCCTTTAAAACCTTGTAATATCACTCTTTGCGGGACTAAACTTAAAGAATGCGATTCGTATTTGCAGCTTTTGCAGTTACAACAATGTAGCATACCTGGCGATTTTCATGGGATTTGAAATGTAAAAATAAAGATAGGCAATTTGAAAATTGGTTATGGTAATGCAAAATTGGAAACGGAAAGGGGCCCTATTTTTTAAACTACTACTTATTCAAAGTTCATCTACTGGTTAAACAATATAACTCCATTGAAGCAAGTTATAACTTAATAGTAGGGATGACTAATGTCAGTTTGAAGTTGGGTTCTTATTTTTCTATAGGTCTATTGGGTTCTCAACGCTTTATAACTTTTCGTTTTTGTTGTCAGTTTTGAAGAATAAAAACAAAATTTCTGGCCTAATCCTTTAACTGTGTGTTGAAGTGTTGTTGCATATTAGGGTATTTTATTTTGTGTCGAAACTTGAATTGGGGATTACTCATACAATTATTTGTAATGTATATATGAGTAATCCTCCATGGCTCCAGATTGTAAATACTATGGAGAGATGATGGGGGAACCAAAGAAAATAACCGGTATTAAGTACATAACAAAAATCCAATGTTTGTGTGACATGGACAAAAATAAAATTTTGATTGTTAAAAGTTTGGTAAGAAAAATTTACCGATTACCATTATATTTCCCTTTATTTTTAAAGTTTCCAGTGTGTTTATGTGTATATATATATGGCGTAAAGGAGCTTGTATTTTCGCTTTACACAAGCTTAAAGTAGGGTTTACACAAGCTTTACGCAAAACGTAAAGGTGTTGCGTAAAGTTTTTGTTTCATTACGCCAGCTTTATATGTACGCGAGGTGCTGTAAAGCTGAACTTTACTTAGAGTAAAGGAAGCGTGAAGTTGTGTAAAATTCAACTATACGCTGACTTTACGTTGTCATTACGCTCACGATAAATACGCTGTTTGTGGAATGAATTTCTCGACAAATCAACTTCTTTGCCGAAAATATTTAGTCGAGGAGACTTTCGATCACCTGCCAGGCAACGAAAAAGATCGACTTTCCCCGATATGCAGCTATGGGACTTGGAGACTTGAGACACCGCCGTACGATGATACTCAAAGTCAAAGTATATATAAACGGTCATGAAAGCGGGGGAAACCCCAGAAAGGAACTCAACAACTTGAGAATGAATTTCACCAACTTGCCGCTAAAAATCTGAACTTCAATGCAGTACAGCGATCTATTGCCAGCGTAATTTGATATTCCATATAAGGCCAAAAAAAATCGTTGTATTCATTATTTGACCGACCAAAATCCGGGTTTGTCCTATTTGGCCGGTCATCATGACCGGCGACCTACTGTCCGTCATTTCGAGCCCTGGGAAAATGAAGCGGATCCAAAATACAGGATTTCATAATGATATTGTTAGCAATGTCCGTCAGTTCGGTGTTAGATGTTGATGCAAAATTTGCAAGCTGACAGGTTAGTGATGAAGTATGTAGGGTTCGGAACAAATCATGATCAGGAATTATAGGTGTACCAAAATTACTTCTGATATCGACGATTTTCTCCTCAATGAAGTGAACGAATTTATTAGCGAGGTCAACTGCAGAAGAGCTAGGGAAAAGTTTATCTTCTTTACTGTAAAGAAGACGAGTAATTGTACAAAACAGGGTTTTGCTGTCACTTTCAGCTGAATAGATAAGGCTAGAATAGTAGGCCAGGCTGCAGTGAACTGCAAAGTGATCAAATTTGAGATAGATGTTTCACCTGATTTTGTGATAATTAGATCTAGAACATTACTGTTCTCGTGTGTTGGAGGACAAAGATTGACGATATCCAGATTAAAACAATTTAAGAGATCCAGGAATTGACTTGCGGTGCTGCCAGATGGATCGTTAACATGGAAATTGAAATCTCCATCTAAGACTAAATTTCCAGGAGAGGACACTAGGTGTTCCAGTAGCATGGAAAATTGATAAAAAAAACCATCATGCATACGACCATTCTTCACAGAAATGGGAGGACGGTTAACTATAATAGTACGTGTAATACAATTGTCAGAGTGAAGCAATAATTCTTTAAATTCAAATGATTTGTAAGGCACTTGCTGAACTTTAAGATTTGTCCTGTAAAGCATTCCAACACCTCCACCAATTCCATTGAGCCTTGGGGAAGGAACGAAAGTGTATCCAGTCGAAGTGACATCGCGGAGTATGATCTCCTTTAGGGGGTCACTGAGCCCAGCCGATTGTTCTCAGATTGAGTCATGCCCAACTCATTCTCGCATCGTGGCTCGAACTTTGAAATTAAACGAAAAATGCATAAAAAGACAACTATCAAAACAAATGCATATACCTTGAACGCTGAGACCTAAATAATTCCAGGAGCCAATCTATTTTTAGCTCTCTGCGCTTACCCTTCATCAAAAGGCTTGAGTCTAAGCGAGAAACCGAGCTCGCTCTTCCAACTAGTTTTAAAGTACTGTTTGTGTTTCTTTTTCTCGGAGTCAGTTGACCCGGAAGAAATATAAGGCAGTGGACATAAGCTGTTGCAAACAAAAATATTATGAATACCGGACAATTTGATTTACTGGGGTACCTACCGGCCAAATAATACATCAGGGTAGCTTCTCTTGTCCATGATTTTCTTCGACATAGGCACACGGACCTTACAGCAAAAAAAAATTCGCAAACTGAAACGACAGAAACTGCAGATCGTTTCACCTCGGCCACGAGTTGCAATTGGAACTGACATCCAAGGGAGCCACACAGCTGAATACTCTGTCTATATCAAAAGATGTCACAACTAATATTAATATTTTTAACATTTTAATTGCTTATAATTTTAATCAATCTGGGTTAATTATTTATCTATCTTATAAATTTATTTATTTATTTTTTCTGCCGTCCCTCATTCACCGTCGGAAGGCCGTTCCTCCCTTTACAGAGTCGTGCATTTTTGTCGGAAATGGTACGCAGTGCAACTCAACATTGTTTATTTTGGCCGAGACGGTTAACGGGTTTGCTAAAAAAGTGACCAATTGCAATCTAATCGTCTTTATGGTCAATACCAATGTTGATTGCCAAAATTGCATTTTGATAAGTAACATTGGATGTTAAGTCTCAACTTTGATTTATGGCGGGATTGGTACGCCTTTGTAACTCAACAACTAACTAGATGATTCAAAGTTCATCTTTCGCGAAAAAGCGCGTGTATCGAGAGCAATGATAGTTAGTGCACTTGAATGTTGATGGACAAAGTTTAATGTTGAACTCTCACTGATAAAGTTAAAGCGTAAAGTTTTGACGCTTGTGCGTTAAGAACTGCAAAATTGAACCGCAAAATCTAATGTTGATCTTTCTGTAGTAAAATGTTACACTGCAGCTCTGCTGAGTATATGTCTTACTCTGAAGTAAGTGCTTAGGGTAGGTATTTTCCTGGTTTTATAGAACTGGATGGCTTACACCGAGGCGAATTTTGGCAACTTTACTTTAACAGACAGCCTTGTAGTCATGAAGAACAGTCAACAAGACAACTATGCTTTTTGTCAGGTAAGCGGATCCAGACAAGAAGTCCTAAAACAAGCAAAATCAGTCAATTAAAAACAATATTTTTTTATTGTGACCCACTTTTCCCCCCTGGGGGGGGGGGGGGGTTGCACTTGATGTCTACATATTAAATGGTAAAAATACATGAACTAGTATCTAACTCGGAAACCTAACGTTTTATTCAGAGGCTAGGCATTTCCTTGCCTGTACTGTATTTTTAGTTTTGCTTTTATTACACTGCATGTAACTGACCATTAGACTAAAACTACCTTTTGTAACTATTATCATTCTAAAGCGAAATGTAAATAAAGCTTGTTTTTGTTCAACAACAACAACAATTCTTTCACATCTCTTCTTTTGTAATGACAGTCTCTAAGCTTAAAATTTTTGTCGACGAAGGTGAGACAAGTGCCTCTAATAATCGGTTGGCAATACACTCAGCTAGCCCCGATAAGGAAGGAAGACAACGAAAAAGGAACACATTTAAAGATTTAATAAATTTTTAAAAGCCAAAATTACGGTTTCGCGTTGTTCCACTGCACTCCCCTTCAGAAGTGAATGGCGACTGGTCTTTCCGAATTTTGGTTGATATTTAGCGATTAATGAATAAGGCTGCAGAGTAGGATTTGAAGGATTATGCAGATCGACCGAGTAGGGTGTGTTCCACCTCGGCCGATAACACCCTCCGAGATCTGCATAATTATTTATATACTACGAAAGCCGTATTCGTTAATTGCTTTATTATTCAATCAAATTAATTCCTGGTTTAAGAACAAGCTAAAACATGCTTACCTTTGTCGATGTTAAGTTCACCTCGATAGTGCACGTTTAGAAGACAAAGGGATGTTCAGGTCTGCAAATATACTCCAAATATCAGATACTGGGTCCGCCGAGTTGTCTTCTAGCTATGTTTTTAGACAATAGTTCGTGGTGAAACGAATAAAATGTTCCGCCGACTGTTCGACCATTTTTCTTTTCTTTACCAAAACAACTCAACCTCGTCTCCAGGTCTTTTTGGTTAAAGGTGCATCAACCTGCACTAATGTGCTGCACTTTTGTTGTCATCGGTTGGTTAATCGCAAAATTCTTCAAAATGTGGTCAATAGTAGCTGGTAATGGTGAATTATGCTTGTGCTTTTAGCCAATCAGAAACGGAGAAAAATTTTGAATGAATAGTAAAATGATTTAAATTCTCCCTTAGATGGAAAGTGTCTCTTATAGCCTGTTTCTTTCTTATTTCAGAGAGTAAACTTCACCAGTCCATTATTTGCTCCTCCAGTGGTGGCTTTGACACCAAAACGCAGTTGCGGAAACGGCGGCTCTTTGCACGAGGGATCTGTATGCGATGCAATGACAGCCTGGGTAGAGGTAAACATTATTTCGTTTTTACTCTTCGATCACTAGCCGATAAGTACATGAATGGTAACCACTTTACGGAAAACGTTGTAAATAACAATCGTTCGTCCGTTCTCGTAATGTACCAGTTTTAAATTAAAGTAAATAACAATTTTGTTTCTCAGTCAATTTTGTTTTAACTTAAAGGAACTTTCTTGACCATTCTCATAACTTTCACTTCCTTGTTAAAAACTCTTTTATTTTTTGGTCAAATGCTGTCTTAAGAAATTCCCTGAACGACCACTGACCTCTTTTAAAAAACTTTGTTTCTCAATGAAATACTCCAACATTTTTACAACAACGATAACAATTGGTTGATTGATTTCAATTCTTTTTACAATAAATCATCAAACAAGGCACTTTACTATGAGTAAAACTGAGATCGACTATTGTCTGCAAGATCTTAAAAACTTGAAGGTTCTACATAGATTTGGTTTTGCCATACATCAGTTAATGTTTCCTTAAAAAAAGATACAAAGATTTTCTCTCTGTGCCTTATCTTTAACGACAAAGAGTTATTCCAACCATGGACTTTTCATGTCGCCATTAAGTATCTATGGAAGTTGAGTCAATCGGAAGCCCGACTTCAAAATCGCTCATCCTACGGCCACAAAATTACACACAATAATGTACTCATCATTTCCAACTTCTGAGCATAACCTGATTGACTCATTGACGTAATTTGTCCCTCAAAGTAGACGTAGAGCAAAAATTACTTAATAGTAAGGCTAATACACAAATAATCTTTAACAATAGCAGTGATGTCATGATGACATCATTTATTACCAAAAAAGGAATTGGAAGCATCTGCCATCTTGGATCCGCCATTTTGATTTATTCAAATGTATTTCATTTTACCATCTTACTTAAAACTCGTAATTAAATCGTGGCATTTTTAAGGAAATTTATTTTATGGAAATTTGCTTGTCACAGGTTGGTCTTCTGAAGTCATGCCAGTAATTAAAAATGGTGTGTAGAACTCCGGGAGGTTCTCTAAGTTGAGTAGCTTAGGATTGTAGTCGCATCGATGAGGAACTCTAGACCTCCGTATTGGTTAAGAGCTTGATTTGGGATTATTTTCCACTATGCATTGCTTGTTACTTGATTCAGCAATACGCTTTATCCAAGCAATCTTTAGCGACCGCTCCATGATTTCAAAGTCAATCATTTTTAGGCCCTCGCAGTGTTTTTCACCAATGATAGTCTTTTTCTTAATTTTGGGAGACTTCCCCTCCCAAATGAAGCTGGAAATAATCTTATTAATTCTGTCTATGAGGGATTTAGATACGGTCAGTAAGGAACCGCAATATATGAGTTTCGACAAACCTAATGTCTTGACAATATTGATTTTGCCAATTAAAGTTAGCTTTCTTTTTTTCCAGTAGCTGAGCGTTTTTTCTAAAGAACAAACCTTTTCTTTAAAGTTAAGGGTGTTGGCTTGCTTTAAGTCATAGGAAAAGTGTATACCAAGGGCATAGACTGGTTCTTGGGGCCATTTAAAACCAAACGGCTTGTCTTTACGCGACCTCCAACATCCTAGCCACAACGCTACGGTTTTGTTTGTGTTAATTTCGAGACCACTCATCTGCTTGAATTTGTCTAAATGTTTTAGTAATTGTGTGACAGAATCAAGATCTCGCACCAAAACGATGGTATCGTCTGCGTCTTGAGTTATCTTAATTTCCCTCTGAAAGACTTTGATGCCCTTAATAGTATGGTCTTTCTTAAGAACTCTGGCTAAGAGTTCGATTCCAACGACGAAAAGGAAGCCAGATAGTGGGCAACCTTGTCGCACACCTCGCTCGAGAAGGAAGAAGTCCGCTGCATGACCACTGTGCAGTACACAGCTCGATGCTTGGTTGTAAATAACTTGTAACCAGAATTAAACGTTTGTAAAGCGGCTCTTAAGTAGTTCCATTCTATTGTATTAAACGCTTTTCGAAAGTCAAGAAATATGGCAATACCGGGTTTTTCCTCCTGCTTAGTGTGAAACATCACATCTTGAATTACTCTAACATTTTCCCCGATAAAGCGTCCTTTAATGTAACCAGTTTGGTCAGAGTTTATGATTTTAGGAAGGACTTTTTCTAGTCTTTTTGCAATATATTTTGTCAGAATTTTGTAGTCATCGTTTAGTAGAGATATGGGTCGCAGGTATTCAAGTAAAGTTTTGTCTTTGTTCTTTTTGGGGATGAGTGAAATAATTCCGCGCTTTTGGCTGATAGATAGTGAACCTTTTTGGAAAGCATAATTAAAACTGGCAGTCATCTCAGTGCCAAGGTCACTCCAGAAGATTTTGTAGAATTCTGCAGAAAAACCTTCAGTTCCTGGCGTTTTGTTGTTTTTATACTCTTTTAAGGCAGTTAAGCATTCTTCTTCTGAAATCATTCCTTCACGCAGTATTTGTTCGTTTTCATCTAGCGGATCAATATTCTCTAAATTGAATAAATCAGATTCAGGCAGATTATCCTGGGAATTTTGCGACTTGTAAAGAGTTTCAAAAAAAGTTTTTTGTTCTTGTAGTATCTCAAACTAATCACAAGTTACCTGATTGTTACGAAGTTTTTTAACAGAAAACTTGATTTGATTATAAAAGGATGCTTAGGAAGCAAAACAAAACAGAAAACTCGATCTGATTATAAAAGGATGCTTGGGAAGCAAAACAAAAATCTGCAAAATATGAAATTTTACTCAGCATCTGCAATTTCATCATATTACACTCATGTTTTTTTCTCAAGCTAGTCATAATAGTTAGTCTCAAGCTAGTGATAATTCAGTAAAATAGAAATAAAACCTAGTTTTTAGAGAAAATCAAATTTTGAAAGACACAGCTGTCAAAACTCGGTTATTATGGTAACATCATTGTTGACGTACATGTCAAGACGACTTTAAAATGTTCCCAGATAAATTATAGGAAAAGTCGCTAAGATGGTTGCTAAGATGCCTGGCTTGAACGGTTTTAAAGTTAGTCAACTTTTTAGCGAGGGTGGGCCTCAAAAGCCCTCAGGTCTGAATAGGGTAAAGGTACAATAGAACGGGCAACAAAAACGTACAACTCGTTTCGGAACATTTCTGCATAACATGTTGAAAAGGGATGGTGCGTAGTGTTACGACGTTTTAAACCATTCTTGCAATAAATCAGGTTGTTGCAATTTGCGTGGATACTGTATACGATGAGATAAAAAATTGAGCGGCAGTCGCGCAATACACGGGAGCTAGGTCATTTGCTGCAAAACAAGTTTGCTTTGGGCCGGTAAAACGCGTATCATGTACAAATTTTGTTGGGAAAAGTAGAACTACTTTCTGCTTTATGTAACAAAAGTGGAGGGTTTATTATCTACGGCGATGGATTACTTCAACAACTGTATATTGACGTCAAGAATTTTATCATGGTAAAGACCTAAATACCTCGTAAAAAACAGCAGGCTGAAAAGGCAAGAGATCGAGGGATTTATTAAGCCTCAGGCGAAATACGGGTTTCAATGTCTGAAACAATAGAACAGAGCCGTAAATGCGCATGCACCAAACTTTGATTTTCCAACGGGATGTCACGAGTTCAAAAGCTGCCATGCGACCTGCAAAAAGGCATTTGCATTAGGTATGGTCCACAACCCTGGTCAAAACGTCTTGGGACACTTGAGGAAATTATGCACAAAGACGCACTTTTCTAAAGTACCTCATATTCTACCTCTTAAAAAAGTTTGGGGATGTTGTTATAAGGGGCTATTTCTGCTGTCCCCCTCTCCCCCAAGCAGTGTTGATTGTGTTGAATTAAAACTTGAATACGTAAATTCAACACTCCACCGAGGGGGAAGAGGGGAGGGAAGATGCCTCAATTTGACAAGCTATTGCGTTAGTGTCCCAAGAGCTTTGAGCAGGGTTGTTGTTTGATATTACCCAAAACTTTCTTAGCTGTAGAGTTATAGATCACCTGCCTGAAATTTGAATAAGCCAATCAGAGGTTAGCAACTCGTTGAAACTAAGTTTTCCTACGTCATCTGTTTTTCGCGCGCTTTGATTGGTTACAATGATGACCACAGCAGACAGAAATTACATGAAGTAAAGCGCGAAAAAATACTATTTTAAAGTCTTATGGCGGAAACTATTTTTTTTATTTTCGTCGTTAATTTCCCCACCTCGTAGCTAAGTGTATCAGCTGATATAGTTGTAAAAGCCTGTTACAGTTTTTGATGCTCAACTGATGGAGTGGTATTTTAAGATCGTTATTATTTCTGAGAATATAATCACGCTTCTAGTGACACTGGCTGTTGGACTACTCGAAAGACTTGGCCGCCTGGATTCTTGTGCAAAGAAGTTCGTTGAAGCGTACTTCTAAGACATTTAGAACATCTTAAGGTATCAAAGTGAGTTTTTGCCCTCTCCAGCGTGGATCGAGAGACTGCATTGTCACGTACTTGAAAGTGGGAGCGTACGAGTCACACGATTCTCCGTTGATATCTGAATCATCATATCTCCATATCTCAAATCTGGTTTGATGCCAACGTTTAATGATTTTGTTAAGCTTTTCTGGTTCTAAAACTGTTCCAGTAATTTTTCTGGTTTGTCAAAAAGTTGGTGGGATTTTGACAACAATTACATGTAATCCTGTATTATGGACTCTATTATGTGCCATATATATATATATATAACAATTATTCACCGAAGTGGAGGTGGCTAGTATTGGATATTTACCGATGCCGCGAAAGCGGCGAGGTAAATATCCAATACTAGCCACCGACACTGAGGTGAATAATTGTTTTAGTATATGCTAAAACAGTGAGATAATAAGCCTAAAATGATCTCAAATGACGATTTTTAATTCGTTTATTTACAACTTTGGCGCGCAAATTAAACAAACATGCGCGCAGCTCAAAATAGTCACATGACACATCTGATGATGAAATGTTCATAATTTTGTGTTTAAGACTTTACAACCGTAAATGAAAGATCAAGCTATGCGAAAGGAAAAGTCCTGGCTTTACGCCATCTTTGTAGATTGTTCTTTTCGTTGTCTGTTACAAGTTTTATTTGCTGCTGCTTCCTCCAAAGCTCACCTTAAAGTTGAGATTACAGTTATGGAACGTGGCTCCGGGAATGAAGCCATGGACAAGATTCTGTGATCCATCTTGAATGGACTGGAAGGAATAATTTGCAGTGCTCGTAGCTACTGATTGCGGCTGGCTCGATGACGACGCAACGGTTTTCTGAGGGACTGTAACAGCCTTGTCATCGTCACCAGCTGGATCGAAGAATTCACTTAGCTCGTTTGACATTCTTTTAAACTGCTCGAATGTCGGCGTATCACAATAGCTCTTGATGCTTTCTTCACTTTGGTGGCCGGTTATTGCCTTGATGTACCGACTCTCGATGTTTGCAGCTGACAAAACCGTCACGGTGGTCGCTCTGATCGAGTGGTTTGTTAGATGTGGCTTTATTCCAGCTCTTGATGTCATTCTTCGTAGCATATTTTCAAGCGTGTTGTAGCCAAGTGGACTCGAGCAGTACCACACAAGATCCGTTGCTGGGTTAAACGCTTTGCACGAGCTTCTTGGTTTCTGGAATAAACTGCTGCATTTGGGACTCGATGAGTTTCACTGGGCAGCGTTTTGAGCCTGGTCTTTCAAATATTTTTCCGTTTGACTCATCTTCTTTATCACCTAGGCCACCTTGATGGTTTTTAGTCGCCAACACTGCTCCGCGCTCTTTGTTTATTTCCAGATATTTTTCACCATTTGGCGCTTCCCTTGAGATAAGCATGTGTTTCTTAAGCAGGTGCTGGTTTTCTCGACCTCTCTTTCCGAGGAATAAACTGATGAAGAACCAGGCCGTCTGCTGTACTTTGTGTGGTTGGAGAGAATCGATGTCAACAAGCTCGCCTTCTTCGTAAAGTTTCTCAACAATTTCCTTTGTTAGGGCTTGTTTGTGCACTGTCGGAGCTATTTGGCCACTTTTGCTCAGAGTTTTCAGAAAATTGCTGAGGGATTTATTGGCTTCATTAAAATGACTGTCGCCAACAATGGAAAATGGCTTTGAAAACGGAGGACTTTTTAAGTGACGATCTAACGCGGCTCGGATTGCGATAAGCGACTTTTTGTTGTAGTAACTGCCGTCACGTTTTCGTGCGGACAAGTAAAATTTTTGGAGGCATTTGTTAAGCTGAATTGGTGACATCTCCTCAAAGGGAGTTTTGAACTCTCCTTGCATCTGAAACCATTCTGTAAAAAAAGTAAGCTTATTTATAAACATGTCAGCTAACATTAAGTAACGAAAGACGTAATTTGCATTTATAAACAAAAAACTTTTTCACCGGTTTCATCGATAAAATTCAGGTTAAACAGACAAAGCTTTACCTGTGAAAACTGCTAGACCGAATTTAGTCGCTTTTTTAGTGTTGTCTGGTATGGTCTCTTCATTTATTTTCGAAATTTCGTCGCTAGTTACCGTGGCAAACCGAGACTGAGCCATTTTTGTCGTACATGTAACTTGCAAGAGTTTGGCGCCGCTCGGCTGGAGGCGAATCAGTGAATAGTGCAGGATATTCCGAGATTGAGCAGCCAATCAGAGCGCGCGAAAAACACTATCCACTGTTTTAGCATATACTAAATATATATATTTTTACATAAGGAAAATTCATTGGAATTAAACATTGCTCTGGTATTGTGTCGTGGAGGTTTCCTTCATCTGTTCTTTGAATCTGAGTTGTTTCTTAACTGTTTACTTTCTCGCCAGAGGAAGTAGCTTTAATGAATGTTTTGCTGAACATGTCTGCAATTTTGCTGTTCCAGTAACAGACTCTTGATATTCTTTTTCATTTGGTGTATTTTTTTCTCCCCCATAGCAAATGGGTCCAAACCATTGTGCATTTTCGATAGATAATAATTATTCAGACATGGGGTTCGCTGAAAGTTAAATTTCTGTAAGGAAGAGTTAATGGAGATCATCTTTTTTCTGTGCATAGCGAATGACTGATTGACAGAGAAATCAATTTTGTAACTGTATTTGCATTTTTATCTTTACTACATTAATTTCATATTGGTAATTTTATGAAAATCTCTAAGTACGGGCAAGCTACAATTTACCAGTTTTGAAAATCTTTAGTTATGACTGCTGTATACCCGTACCTCAGTGTGTTACTGAGAAAGTGCACAATGAAGGTTTCTTCAGAGGTGTCAAATGTATAACTGTTTGTCAGTATTTAGATGGATTTTTTCTTACTTGGCCATTTTTAACCTGGGCAAGCTATGAGGCTCAACAATTTTCAACTGTGTACTAATGTTTCCCCTGTACATAAATATGAACAGTTGAGGTATTGAAACTCGTCAAGGTAGTTATACACTGACCAACATGGTTTGATTTGGAAAATTCAATGCATTTTGAATGCTTGGTTGCTGGATTGAAAATCTGATGTGCTTTTATACAGCTGTATATATGCTGCAACAAAATGATCACCATGAACAAACTGCAGTCCAATTTCCTCTTTTAGATTCGACTTTGTTCCCAGGATCGAGTTCGTGTACAGTTACATCCCTTGAAGAAGTACATGTAATTAAAACAATTACTTTTTCATTTCACAAGACACTGTTAAATTTTATTGTTGTGAACAGGATAAGTTAATCAGATACCAGAACTTATAGTATTGTAAGTTAAGAGTAGCTATTTTTGACAAAGGATAAATTTCAGTGATTCTTCCATTCATGGAAGGGTAAGTCAAAGTTATGTTTGCCGTGATTCTTTTTGAGAAACAGCGGCATAAATTGTCTTGACAACGCTACCGTTGCAACAGATTGTCTCGCATGGTTGGACTATCACTTTTTTTTCAACAATTACATGTTCCAACAGCGATTTCTGTTCACTGTTTTCATCAAAAAATTGCAGCCATCGGCAGTCTGGGGTGAACCAGTCTTTCCTAATGTTTCGCGGAGTGACGCGGTCACGAGGAAGAGACGGAACTAACTCATATCTCGGTCAGTTATTCCTCAACAGTTCCCTCGACAATTTCACTCGATTTATCTCTAAATGTTTGGTACACAAACGCTGAGGTGGTTATTATTTTTGAAACTCAAGGTAGCGTAGACTCCAAATATTCATCCGTCTGACAGATGGACTTTAAATAGCCGAGTCCCGAATCCTTGCCTTAGCTTTTTGTGCTAGTCGCGATAATGGGTCTGCTAGGCAGTAGACAACGTTTTTCTCAGAGAAACCATGATGGTCTTCAATAATTTAAGGAGAAAACCTGTAAAAACAACATTGTACTCACTTTTCAATTTCCCGTCAATATTAATTGAAGCAACGCGCTTGCCTGCGTGGGTTTTGCTCCTTTTTGACAATCTCTGGGACGTAATTCTTTTCGAGGAACTAAGAAGCAGACAGAAAACCTCTCATAGGGTAAGTTAAAGGCCACTAAAGGAATTTTGTTTTAAGTAAAAAAGCTTCGAGCAGCCTCGAGCGATGAAAAAAATAACAATTCGATAAAACTGCGTCATTTAGTTGACATCGAGTTGTAACTTTTATGCATGACTAGATGACGTAAGAAAACCAAGTTTTGTCTGCCACAGTTACTGAGGGCTCAACCCCCGTATGGTAGATAATGATAAACAGTTCCTTTAGCTTCAATTCAAAGCCAATTCCACAATTGGTTTCGGCACATTTAAAACCTATACCAATTGTACAACATTTAGGAGGTGCCACCCAAAATGTGAGCACAGTTACCTGAAAGAGCCTATGGGTAGGAAAACAGTTTTAAAAAATGAAATACATTAAATAACGAACCAAATGCATTTCAGTAATGTAAGTAAATACGATTGTGCGCGCACACACAACCTACATCAACTGAAAGAATACTGAAATAATCAAATTGGCAACGAAAGGATATGGCCGTACCGCTCAACCATTGATTGCCAGTCTCATCTCCCGTAGTGTAGTGTTATACTTCTCGACGATAACCCCACAAGCTCCACAAAATCCATTTGTCTTGAATCGAAAATTTTTATCGTCGTTTTCACTGCCGTTAGATGTATCGGAAGACCGAGAAAATGGAAAGCTATGCGTCTGTCGAAGGCTTACTTCTCCCACCAGCTTCAATACATGCTCAGATAATTATAGAAGGATGGAATGGGCAAAAATGGAACTAGCAGCAAATAACACATATCTACATCTAGCTGAAAATAAAACATCTTGTCGACTGGTGGAGTACGATGTTTTGAAACGACATGTTAGTAAACTTCTAGTATATACACGACCGTCAAAATCGGCCAAACAAGCATTCAGTGTTAAAGGAAACACGTGCGATAATAATATAATATAATAATACAAAGCCGCCCTCATCGTGCTGAGATTGCACTTTAAATTATACCTTTTAAACTTTTGAGGATAGAATGCGAGCAAATATTACAAGACGTTGACGAATCGTTCCCACCAGTTTCACAGCAGTAAAGCTATCAAGCCAGCCCCTATAGATGACAAGAACGCTGAGCAAGCGACATAGCCCTGGGAGGTTTTCGTCCCGCGAATCATATTTTATAAAACGAAAGTTTAAGATCCTACTTAAGAATGTAACAAAGGATCTTCACCGACAGTGCGTACCGCAGAAAAATCTTGTTGCGTCAATGGGACAGTTCTTATATCTATATGAAACAAAAAAATGACGTTCGAATGAAGACATATTTGACCGTACCTAATTTACAACATCCTTAACTTAATCTGAAATCATCCTCGAACAACCAGATCCTGTATCAATTAGCATTTAACTGACATTTTTGCCATTATTACTTTGATGATTTTCTATCTTAGTATACCTCCCGGAATGATATGGAGATTTGTACGAAAAACTATCACAGTGACGAGAGCATGATGAGTATCCTTGCAATCGACTATTTGGTGATTGGAGGTAGGTAAAATTCATTCCACGCTCTCTTTCTACCAAGGTGCTTTCTATCAGTGCACGAATGAGTTAGCACCTTAAGTCAAGGGTTACCTGCCTCTTATAAGCCAGCCCCCCAGTTATGATAATAGTCCAATCTACCTGTAAAACAAAAACACATGCAACTATAAGTCTCCCCGAATATAAGCTCCTCTCCAAATGTATTGAAATAAATTCCGCTCATTATGACGTTTTGCACTTTATACCTTGCACCTACCCCGTAGTCATGTTGACCCTTTGGGGTGCCTCATGGACCTAGCCACCGTTTTCCACCATTTGACTTACTTTTCAAATTCTCTTAGGGCGTCGAAAAACCTCAACCCTATCTGAATGAGAATTTATTATCCCAGCACGTCCTTTATCTTCTTCTTCTTCCCTCTCCTTGCAATGTTTCTTGTAAATTACCGTAAAATTCCGAAAATAAGCCCCGGGGCTTATATTTTTCAAAGGCCCTGTTTGAGGGGCTTATCTACGGAGGGAAATTTGGATTTACAAATTGACTGGGCTAACCTTACAGTTGGAAGTAAATATACCCTTTTTGTGTTGTTTTACTTTGTATTTGAGGGCAATTTTCCAAGTACAAGCCCCCGGGGGCTTTTATTTGGAGGGCCTATTTAACGGAGGGTTTTTTGTGTCACCGGTTTGGGGGGCTTATGTTTGGAGGGTCTTATACATGGGGTGGGCTTATTTTCGGAATTTAATGGTATCTTCGCGAGCCTTGCCAATCTTGACATATACCCAAACGAATTTGGCTTAGTTATTTTTTTTAACGGGGATAACCTGTCGGCATAGGCCCTGATGGCTTGTCTGATGACTCCATTGGAAATGTGGTCTTTGTATGGGATGCCAAGGCAGTTTCCTGAACATCCTTTTTCAGTAGCCTGTAATTTCTACTATGTTTGCTGCGAATGCCGAGGCTTTGCTGGCGTACAAGTGTACCGACACAACTAGGGCATTCTTGTCGCTCCAGATTTTTTTTTCACTAATGCTGCTATTGTCTGTGCAATTATAAACACTTCAGGCTTGGAACCTTGATCTGATACTTAAAACTGTCAACTTCGTCCAAGTTTTTGCAGTTGACCCTTGTGTCTATGTTGATGCCATATGTGTTGTTGGTTTTCATTTTGTGTTTCTTTTAGCTAATTTCCTTGCTAAAGTTAGACGAGATCTTGTCCAGGCAATCTAGTTCCTCCTTCTACTCTACCACGCGATCAATGTCAATGGCAGAACGCGAGTTGGTGATTGTCCTACCATCGATGCTGGCTGTTCTTTGGGTGATCTTCCAGTGCGTCAGACATAATTCTTTCCAGAAAGATGTCGCTGAGAGCAGACAGAAACGAGTCGGCGAGAGCAGGCAGCCCTCTCTGACTCCGACCGTCGTTCTGAAGCAGTCTTCTATGCCACCATTACGGTAGACTGCACTGGTGGCTACTGTAGATGTCCCCGATCATGTTTGCGTCAATGTTATGAAGGCTCATAGGAGGTATCTCTCACACAGTTTCCTGAGGTTAAAGATCTTTTCTGCTGTGCCGCTTTCTAATCTGACGCCTGTCTGTTCTTCCACAATGATTGTTGTTGCCTGGGGCTTTAGCCTGTTAAACAGAACCATCATGATGACTTTACTTGCCTTCATGGGTGAAGTCTCACCGCAGGCTGATGGTGCGATAGTTTTTTTGCGTTGATGAAGGCCACATTTCTCGGGAAAAGTTGTGATCATGGACAGGGTCCATTGTGAGGGCCATTCTCGTGGCTGCCAGATGCTATTGCAGATAGGGCACTTATTACGGTATCTCCTCCAGCTTGGACCAACTACCCCGGGATACTGTCTATTTCTGGAGATTTTCCCTTTCATAGCTGCTTCAAACTATTCCTGCAGGATTGTGGGTAGTTCTGTGTTGGTTTAACATTCGGCACCACCGGGTAAGGCCTGTGCAATATCCCGTCCACCTCTTTAGAATGTCCTGGGCTTCGCTAAGGCGACTCCTTTCTTCTTCTTGTATGGTGTTAAGTTTATCCTCGTTTTGTGCTACTTAAAACGTTTTATTTTTAAGTAGATATGCTTTCTTGCTATTGCTCGTCTTGATGTTACCTTCAGAATCTTGACACTGTTCGTCAGTCCAAGACTCGTTTGCCTTTTTATGGCTTTCCTTGATTGATTTCCGGGTTTACTGCTCCGTACTTTTTTAATGCTTGTCATATTCTGTTTCGCGATAATTGGCATTTAAGGTTTGCTGTCATGTCAATCTTCTTTCCCAGAAGCTGCAACACCGAATCAAGGATCACAAACGTCTGGTCTAATATAAAACAAAATCTCTGATTGGTTGATCACAACGTATTTATCACATGCAAATCACCTTCCAAAACCAAAAAAAACGTAAACACGTTGATTTGGTTTTGATAGGTCATATCTGTGTACACATGCGAGAAAATTTGGTTATGACGTCATCGGCTCGTACAGACTTTCAGGGAGGGACTAAGTCAGACCCTGCAAGTAAGGACAAGAGGGAGTTTAAAACAATAAAGGTTGCTTTTGTCTTCGCGAAATTTAACCGGTTCACCTAGAGGCAGACAAAAAAATTGTTCCAGTAAAAATCTTGAGTTTTTTTCTTTGACACACGAGTAAAAAACTTTGAAAAATATACTCTTAAGGCTTGCTTTTAGCTTTGTCACGCTTTTGTCAATGCTCTAGAACCACTCTAATCTCGGGCCCCGTCCACACGAATAGTCCTTCCGTCCACACGAACCAGTGAATCCGCACACCGAAACCGCATATTTTTGAAACCACTCTCCAGAGTAGCTTTTTTGGGATCCGACGGGTTTGGTGAATTCGTGTGGATGACTAAAATCGGATATTAATGAAGTTAACCACGTAATGAACTCAAGTCCAGTCTTAAAGGATGGTTTTCACTAGCGACGGAGTCGAAGTCGTAATCAGAAGCGTAAAGCGTTATGACTTAGTGAAAACTGCGTTCCTATTCCGCTTACGACTCCGTCGCTTACGTTCCAGTTATGATCTAGTGAAAACCAGATTATCGGAGTAGGAAGCGGAAGCGGAAGATCTAAAGCTCACAAAGTGCTGGAACGTGCATTGTGATCGGTTTAATTCCTTCCGCTTCTGCTTCCGACTCCGACAATCTGCTTTTCACTAGGTCATAAGCTCTCTTACGACTTCGCTTAGAATTTCGACTCCGACTTCGTCACTAGTGAAAATTAGCCTTAAATGAAAAATCAAAATGGGGGACAGCAATGTTCTGTTGTTTTCAAAAGCTATGAAATGATGGATAAAAACGCTGAAACTAGAAGAGATGGTCGGCCAGTGTGCTCAATATAGCTACAACAACATCCTAAAAAGCCGGGAAATCACATCGCCTGCTTCATTTGAGCGTGCGTAATAGCTAGAGATAAGCAAATATGTATTGCATAAGCGTGTTCATGAGGACGGGTGATTTTAAACAGGATACACCTCAACAAAATTGTGTTGACGCAAATATCAAATGTGGTTTCGGCGTATCCGGATTCGTGTGGACGTGGCCTCAGATTGGTCAAAGTTTGGATAGGTGTATTCATGGTTGAAAAAGGGTAAACATGCATGCAGCTAAAATGTTGTGTAATTTTAAGTTTTAAAGTTTATGTGTTCTTGTAATGCTGCTAAAAGTCACTAACACTTAATATTGACTATGAATTTTGCTGTTTATATGATGCTAGACTTGGATCCTTGCATTAATGTGACATGTGGCTACTATCGTTATTGCAAGGCATTGGCACCTCATGTTGTTCGCTGCGTCTGCGCAGACATTTGCCCGTCCTATAAAGAACCAGTTTGTTCTTCGAACGGCACGACCTATGATAACAAATGCCTGTTTGAACAAGAAACGTGTTCTCTGCAGCTGAACTTTACGATACAGCATCCCGGCAGCTGTGAAGGTTAGATCATTCAACCTAAGTTGCATATTTGTTATTTGTTGCTACTCTGTGGTGGGTATTGTTTTGTTTTAGAAATAGGCTTTGCTTAGATGAAATTTTATCAGTAGCTTTCTGAATTTCGCAGTTTACGAGAACTTTACTTTCCCATGTTCGCTCAAAAGATACATATTATACGGTTAACAAAAGAATCACATACTGCAACTAAGCCTGCCAGCTGGGGAGACCCCTTTCTTCAAGGGGTAAAGCCATCTGATGACCGTCCTAATAATATATAGCTGCAACGAACAATCCAAAGCTTGTACCTTGGAGACGATGTGGCTAACTATAACGAGAGGGGAGTTCCTCATTCTATTTTTTACCTGGCTGTTATGACATTCCTAACCTATTTATTTTCTTTAGGATTTCCGTTACAGCGTGGCCATCGCAGCATGCCGCACACTCCATCCCTGGGGTATTCATTTTGTAAAGTTATAAGTTTGGAGCCCTTCGTGTTCTATCCTGACAAACCTATTGAAGTTCAGATAACTGTCAATCATCAGGATACCAGCGACAAGTCCTATGTTCATGATGCCTCTGTATCGTGGGTTGAAAATGTCAATAACGATACGTTCACTGCGTGTGTGATGACTGCAGGTTTTAACGAGCGAACGTCTTATTCTAACGTGACAGTAGACTGGCTGGCTTACCAAGGCGCTCCCGCGGGTGGGGTAGCAGGAGTGCAACGCATTTCACAATGGTGGACTGGGACGACCTGCGAGACTGTGAAATTTCCTTCGGTGTGTTCTTTCATATTCGTTATCCTTTTTTTGCTTTAACGATTTCTTTTATTTGTACTTAAGGGAGTCTAAACAGAATGGGAACACGCAGATTGATATCGACCAAGCAGAAAATTCTTGTTTTTCTTCTGTTTTTGTTTACAGGGCAAGTTCTCCCAGAAGCCTTTAGTTTTTGTTACGGTGGCACATCATCACGCTGGACTAAAGAGGGACGCCGCCAGTGTCTGGCTGGAAGATATCACAGCATCCTCTTGCAAAATATGTTTGAGGGAACTTCAAAATTACGCAGGCTCCCACAAGGATATTTTTGTAGTAAGTAACAGGGTTAGAAAAAAGTCGAAATTTTAGCTTAAGTAGTATACTATGTTGGAAATTAAGCCCCGTCGCTGGATAGGTAAGGATAGTTTAGGGATAGTCTATGACGTCACCCATTGTTATAACCTAGGGAAAAAATTCGTTCCTCCATCTAATAACTGTCTTCCTGCATACTAATTCGGTATAGGTTTACTAATGAGCGAATACTACAATAGGCAGAAGCGTTGCTAGGTGATCGCTTCTCTTATTCGTATTTTCCTTTTAACAGACGGTCCGAAAACCGGGCTCAAGTTACTTCACGGGCAGTTCGAGGTAAGCCTATTGTGCCCATTGTGGTATTCGCTCATTAGTAAACGTATGCCGAATTAATATGTAGGAAGACAGTTATCAGATGGAGGAACGCATTTTTTCCCTAGGTTATAACAATGGGTGACGTCATAGACTATCCTACCTATCCAGCAGCGGGGCTTAATTTCCAACATAGTATACTACTAGCTTGCCCTTCGGGCAAGCAAGTCTTCAGTTTTACAAGCCCGGGTCATTTACTCGCTTGCCCAATTATTTTGCCTCATGGGTATGGCTACAGGTTGCCGTTGAGGGGGAAGAGTGGGTGGTTTTTGCGATAAATAAATATGATTATGGCACATTTTAGCATTTAGTCATGGGAAGTCACCCCAGACGAGCAAGCTCGATGGGGAAGACACGTAGGTGCCAATAAAGTAAGCAGAAGGGGCGGGTGGGTGGGGGCGACTCCAACTAAAGTTAGTCAAACTGACAACTGTGAATAATTAACACATGCTTATATACTATGCGCGAAGTCTATCGAATATTAATAAGGTATAAATAGTTCAATATCATTCTTGCATACTTATTAGCATTTAGTTATGGGAAGTCACCCCAGACTGCGCCTATCGCTGTAGAATCTCCTACATAATCCTAACACCATGATGAACTCTTACCCTTCCCAATCCTTAACTAAATTGAACTCTCCCAACCCTAACTAATCCCCAAACCCATGCAACAAAATCTTAACAAATCGCCACAAGTCGATGAGGGTTGTCCAATACTCGCCACTTGTTTAAGGTGTGAAAGTCGTGGTGTGTGTGTTTCTGTGTGCTTCAACTTGTACGAAGGGTAAAAGTGGTTAGATCAGCCTTTTTATTCATGCGATTGGTACTAGTGGTGAATGGGTGATAGTTCCGTTTGATAACTTGAGGTATCACATATAGTTAAACTGCATCTCACTTGCAAGTACAATTACAGAACACGCATCTCATTAGCGACACAAGGACTTGGTTGGCAAAGTTGTCGTGAGGGGGCCCTTTCAAGTGGTACGACTCGTTCGAGCCGTGCAGATCAGAAATAAATTTTGAGACAGAAAACAAGCCCTTCGACATAAAAGAGAAATCTACGAATCTTGCCTTTTGTGAGTCACACAATACCGTCACACTAAGTGCCTAACCTAAAACAAAGTCTCGTGAGAAACTAGCTTTGAGTATAACAACATCCATTACTGAGCGAAATTTTCAAGAGTCCGCCCCTCATATCGTACAAAGGAGGACAGTTGCTCAAAGACATACCGGCATGGGAGCCAAACTATGAAAAGGCTAAAACACGCGCAGGGTACGGGGAGTCATGCAGGCCAGTCAATCCCCCTTTACCCCTGTTACACGGTATTGTACGTATTAGTATTTACGCAATCATTTTAACGCGTCGGCAGCCTCAGCATGGTTAGGTGCGCGATTCAATTTAATGAAGTGAGGCGCATTGGATTATGGAACGGGGACCACCAACCTATGTGATCCTTGTTAGCTTTGTCCTAGCATTGCGGGAGAAATTATATATGTAGTTTCTAAATCGCGTAAGGGTGGCTTCCCGGTTAGCCTAGGCTCGTACGGGACTAGTGTAGATGGAAACTTTGTGCGCGATCAATTTTGATTGAAAGGGGCCAGGATAATCTCTAACAAACCCCATGCAGATTTGCACTACAATAATTACACAAAGAGGGCATAGTCTGCTTGACACCAGGGAACAAGTGATCTTTCTAGCAATAGTGTAATATTACAGGTATATCTGATGTTAAAGCCCTTTAGGAAGCAACCGGTGTCGTTTATCTGAGTCGACCCCAAACTCCTACTCCATCACCAGCAAATAAGCTGAGAGTGCCCGGAAAGGGTCGATACCTTCTGTGACGAGAAATGAACCTGAGTTGACGAGTAATAACTATTCACGAATGCAAACCCGTAAAACCCGAAAGGATGGTTCTCGTAACTGTTTGTTCTCATCTATATGGCTGATTAATGAGGGCTTGGGCGAGGGTTACGCGTCTACTTTGCCCTTCCAGTTTCCGAAAATTGACTATGCCAGCTTGGGCTCTTAAATCGCTTGGCGAAGGAAGAGGATATGGCTCCCTTCCTATAAAACGATGCGATTTCAGCAAAATCTGCAGTCTTTCGCGAAAAAGGGGGTTGTCAACAGAACAAAACAAAACGTCCACACAATGCATATTAAAGATTATAACTCTTTCTGAAGCACAGTCAAAACGATTGAAAATGCTAACTCTCGTGTACTATTACGCCACTTAAAAAGACCAGATATTAAAGGCTAGAAATAAAAAACCGAGCTTAAAAGCTGTCTCATACTGATCACGACCCGTGTATAGCTGACTTAGTGGTCTAGTAACACCTGACGTTCCCTTCAAGTGAAAATCTTCGGGAGCAACAGATCTTCGAAAAGCAGATCTGTTTCCCAGGTGGGGATGTTCCGACCGAAACTCGTGGTTCATTACTTCATCCCACCTCTGGTTACCTTTGCAGGACCCCGCAACCGTTTTCCGGTAAATTGGACACATATGTGCAAGGAAAACACGATTGCTGAACGGAATGTTCGGAACCTGACATTTGTTTACCATTTGATAAAATGTTGAACCGACCGGGTAACAAACCTTGTTTCTCTTGAAAATACACCAGGATCCATTCTAACATCCAAGGCAACACCCCAGGCAGCAGGAAATATCATAGTCATCGAGTTTGGAGCAAGCAATCACATATACTGATAGCAAAACAAAATCTAGACATGCGCACTCCAAACATTTTCATCGCTTTATTTTTGATTGTTTAACAAAGGTAAAGAAGGAATATGTCTATCCCGTGGTTCATTCATTGCGAAACGGGTAGAGGTCATGCAATCCCAAGGTAAACCAGGCATCAGCTGATAACACATGCCACCCGTAATCTTCGAATAACCTACTCCACAAACGCCCCCGCAGGGGTTGTAAAGGGCTCGCTCTCTCTTTGACGCTAAAATGAAACAAACTACGCCCAATAAAGGAGAAGGCCAAAAGCACGAATGGTGTAATGCGGTTGCCAAAGCAGACAGAGAGGTAGATGAAGAATCCAACTGATAAAATTATACGTGTATGCACTCGTCTATATGTGCTCAACTTAGCAGAAAAATTTCACCAGACAAGGTTTGGAACCGAAGTACGACGCGACCACTAAAAGGAGACAGCTGCGTAACGGGCAAATATGTTCTCACAGGCTCCTAACAAGTCACCTTGCCCCAGAGATCTAAGAGCCGAACTTCGTGGCTTTCCAGAGCACACGCTAATGTCATCACCACTCCTAATCTAGGAATTCAATACCCGCGCCTTCACACAACCCAGACCATTTCTAAATATTTGGTCTGGAAAGCAGAGAAAAACTTCGTGCGAAAGTACTCACAAAAGAGCGTAGATTAACGAGACCTTTTAAACCATGTACAAAGCTGCCCTCACAGAATAATGAACTGTATTCGAGAACACTCCGCCCTGTTCAAGAGCGACAAAACTTGTCGAAGGGAAAACAAGCCCGAATTTAGCAATCATTAAAGAGAAAGAACAATGCTTGTAGGAACTTCCAGTCCAGTA